AGCGTCACGTCTGGAGGAAACCTGGCACCATCTCTACGGTGAAGCACGGTGGTGGCAGCATCATGCTGTGGGGATGTTTTTCAGCAGCAGGGACTGGGAGACTAGTCAGGATTGAGGAAAAGATTAATGGAGCAAAGTACAGGGAGATCCATGATGAAAACCTGCTCCAGAGCGCTCAGGACCTCAGACTGGGGCAAAGGTTCACCTTCCAACAGAACAACTATCCTAAGCACACAGCCAAGACAACGCAGGAGTGGCTTTGGGACAAGTCTCTGAATGTCCTTGAGTGGCCCAGCCAGAGCCCGGACTTGAACCCGATCGAACATCTCTGGAGAGACCTGAAAATAGCTGTGCAGCAACGCTCCCCATCCAACCTGACAGAATTTGAGAGGATCTGCAAAGAAGAATGGGAGAAACTCCCCAAAAACAGGTGTGCCAAGCTTGTAGCGTCATCACCAAGAAGACTCGAGGCTGTAATCGCTGCCAAAGGTATTGAGTAAAGGGTCTGAATACTTATGTAAATGTCATTTTTCAGTTGTTGTTTTTTATCAATTAGCAAAATATTCTAAAAACCTGTTTTTGCTTTGTCATTATGGGGTATTGTGTGTAGATTGATGAGGTAAAAAAACAATTTAATCAATTTTAGAATAAGGCTGTAACCTAGCAAAATAAGGAAAAAGTTAAGGTGTCTGAATACTTTCCAAAGGCACTGTAAGTAAAAAAAAACATGGAATGCTAACTCCATCCTGGTGGCGCAGTGGACTAATTCCATGGATAGAGAACAGAAGATAATAGTGTTCGAATCTCACTGATGCTGTGCCACAATAAAAAAGAAATGTGTTTGCATGATTAATGCCTAAGGAAATGAATTTCCATGTGTCCTATCTGTGCTTGGAGTTCAGAACAGTTAACCTAAGCTAGCAGTCTTATTAAACGTCTTATTTTAACATTCAGTGTAAGTTTTAAGGAAGTTATTCAAAAACCTCCAAATAACCTTTACATTTCGTTCAAAACATTCACAACATTTTGAGAATGTTCTCAGAACGTTATTTAATTACCTTCAAATAATCTATAATTTTCGTTCTCAGAACGTTAATAAAAACTTTCAGGGAACCATAGTAAAACGTTCTCAGAACATCCCTGCAACCTAAAAATTAACATTCCTAGAACAAGATACATTTTCACTTCCGTTCTCAGAACATTTAAAAAACTTTCAAATTTACCAGTCAAGAAACATATGGCTTCGTTCCCAGAACCAATGGGAAAACCAAAAACGTACATTGCCACCACTTCTAAGGAACCAAACTGTGCTAGCTGTAATTTTTTCACATTAAATAAGAGCTAAATAAGAGCTTGTAATAAATGTCCTCTGTAGTGGACATCAGGATGTGCTAACTAGGTCACCCCAAACACTTTTTTTTTGCTGGGTATCAGGAGGATAAATGGACACAGGAAATGCAAAAAAAAAAAACTAGACAGGAAAACAAACATTACATTCTGACAAGTGAACTCAGTCATTCAGTGGCTGGTCATTAGTTTTAACATGTGAGACTATAGGGAGTCTGGCTGAGAATAAGATGGTGATGGGTTATTTCCTATGCACAGATCTAGGATCAGCTTTCACTCCCCCAATCTAAAACTAAACGATTTGGAGGAGAAACACAAAACTGGCCTCAGGTCAGTGTCTAGGGGCAAAGTTTTTCCTATTCCAATGGGAACCATAATGGGCTTGTAGGGGTTAACTTTAATGACCTAGACAGTCTACTGGCTTCCCCTTCTGACAAAGGAGGGGTTTAAGGGTTGTTCATTATATTCCGCTAGCCTACACTATGTATATGTCTCAAATGGCACCCTATTCCCTATATAGTGCACTACTTTATACCAGAGCCCATGGGCCGTAGCCAAAAATTTCAGCATTGAGTCCAGAAAAAAAGTAGTGCACTCTAGGCAAGAGTGCACTATATGTAAACATAATTTCTTACCAATTCTCCATCCATGTCTATTGCATGAAGTGCTACTGTGTATGCAGCCCATACATTTCTGCTATTACTGATGTTGAACTACAGTATACCTATATGTTGCAACTGTTTTGTTGCTGTTATTGTTGTTGTTGTTTTCTTTTTAGACACAAATGACTTACCTTTGTTATGGTTGATTTCGCATGGTCCCTTCTTGACAGAGTTGATGGTGGGCAGGCCCTGCTGCAGAGCCTTCCTACTCTGCACCTTCAGCTGACATACGTTCCCATAGGTATTACCATCACTGCCGCAGACTTTGTGACCCAATTTGCACTGACAAAACCCCTTGGCTAGCCGCTTTCCGGCCGGGTGCTTGCATTCGAGTCCATCACCGCAGGGTAGGTCATCTTTGCGCCCGCATGGGTCGCTTTCTCCCTGGGCGCAAACCAGGCAGCAGTTGCATCGGTCTGGAACGTACCCCATCGCGCAGCTAGGGCTGGGGCAAGTGCTCACCTCGCACCGCTCTGGGCATTTTGGTTTGGGCTCAGCTCCGACGAAGTTCACGATATAGTAAAGAACGGTAGCAAACAGTAGGATCTGCATCGTTTGCGATCAAGTGCAGTGGAGATATGAGAAAATAAAAACAAAAAAAGAATTACAAATAATGTTATGCTAAGTATTTACACGGTCATGTTCGTCGTAAAACGGTCGCCGGTAATTTGGGATTGAACGACGCGCAACGCTCCACACTTTTACGCATCACTTTCACGGGACTGTTGAGACAAAGTTACGCTTGCAGGGCAGACATTCGGGGTTTTCTTACCACTGAAAAGTTCTCAACTCATATGCAGTCCTTTCTTGATCCAGATTAAATGGGAAACGTTATCCTAAAGGAGTGGAAACTCATCCCAAATATGCCGTAATTGTGCGTCTAATCGATGCACTGGCTGGCGCTATTAGTTATATTTGCAATGACCACCAATGAGTCTCAGTACAGCAGTGCGGTGCCTTTTCTTTTTTCAGGTTTTTGAAGATCCCATATCATTCGCTTGCGTCTGGTCTGGCTCTGCCCCTCCAAAGCTCATGTGATCTTGCCTAGACATCTTGTCACAAGAGGACCACAATGGAAATAAATCCCAGACTTTATTGTGTGTTATCTTCGATGATTTTATTCGTTTTTTTTATTATTGTGCTTGTTTTTAAAGTAGCTTTAAAAACTTAGCTCCGCAAAGGAGGAGGTCTTTGACAATAATAACGCGACCCCAGGAAGCAGAGAGTTGGACCCCCTTGACCCCGCATAACTGTTCAGTCTACTCTTTATCATATCTAGCATGAAGGTTGTCATCATACCTTGAGATGCATGACTTGGAACCGTACTTTGTTGTCAGTAGCAACACTGCCTGGACAATATTATACTGGGGGCCGAAAAGGTGTCGAAATGTTGATGTAAATAATTGGGTTGCTGTCAAACAACATAAGCATCAATGCAGCTAGTGACTGATCTGACACATTTCTAGTTTTGTCCATTTCAAAACATTAAGTAATCCATTCTTCAGGCTGGATGTGAATGAGTGCATGGTTCCGTCCCACATGGCACCCTATTCCCTATATAGCAGACTACTTTTAGCAGACTATGGGCCCTATGTGCCATTTGAGAAACATGTAGTACCATCTTTTTATAAGCACCCCTTTTAAGGACAATTTAAGGTGACCAGCCAGTACCGACATAATGGCAGATGTGGTTCTGTTTTTAGCACATACTTTTCTCTCTCTCTCTCTCTCTCTCTCTCTCTCTCTCTCTCTCTCTCTCTCTCTCTCTCTCTCTCTCTCTCTCTCTCTCTCTCTCTCTCTCTCTCTCTCTCTCTCGCTCTCTCTCTCTCTCGCTCTCTCGCTCTCTCTCTCCTGCTTTCTTTCTTTCTCTCTCTCTACTTGCCAAGGGGAATGGGCATAACATGTTTAGAGCTAATACATGTTTGTTATGGTAGAGAAGTGAGTGTGTTCACCAAGTCATATGGGATGCATCCCAAATGGCACCCTATCCCCTATCCCCTATGGGCCCTGGTCAAAAGTAGTGCACTATATAGGGAATAGGGTGCCATTTGGGACGCATACATATTTCACCAACAGTGGGTATGTTTATTTGAAAACTCAATGTCAATCTCTCCTGGCACTTCTCGGAAACACTGGACCCCTTGTTCCAGTCACATGTATCCACTGTGCTGGCTGTTAATGGTGGAAGCAGTACTTGGTGATATTTTTACGATTCCTAAGCATACTTTAGATGTGTTATTCTTAGGATTAAAATATGGAATTGTTGCTGAAATTGTGATATTGCTGTACTGAAAATGCCACTCATTACAGAAAAGTAAGACTCAGCATTACTTTCTCTCTTTGTCTGTAACCACATTTTCAATAGTCATGCTTTCGAGACATATTTTGTTTACATAATTCCAATGCAGCATGTTGTTAATTTGGAAAGTCTTTGAAGTGTGATGCATTTGTGAGTCCACTGACAGATTTATCTATCTCTCCCTCCCTCTCTCTTTCTCTCTCCCTCTCCATCTCTTTCTCTCTCTCTTTCCTACACCATCTGGAGAAGGGAGACAAGCATTCCATCTGGCATGATTTTACCCAAGCACCCTCAACACTGCTCAAAGATTTAGGACTATTATAAGTTAGGGCCCAGAGTTTTTCCTTGCCAAGTGGTCAAAGGTCAGGAAAAACTCCTGGCCCCAGTTATGACAGACATTTTGAAGATGTTTGCAGAATTTATTTTAGCATGTAGATTTTTATAAAGACTGCATCATAGTGATTGTTTATTGCAAGAAACAGAGAACAATACAAAAAAGGCATTGGTGGCTCATCAGTTATGATTATAGGGGCTGGAGTTTTACTGACTAGAGAGCTGACCAGGATAAACTCAAGGCGCTTGTCATGGCTCTACGCTTCCCTTTAATGACATGGATATGATGAGAGGTCAGGGCAGGTATCCACAAAGTGTCTGATCTAGGATCAGTTTAGTCTTTTAGATAATAATGAATAAGATTATATGGACAGATCCTAGATTAGGACTCATTTGTGGAAAGCAGTTCACTCCACTATAAACTGCATCAACTGAACCTTAACACTCCCATTATCTTCTCTTGATTCTCATATTAATTTTATTAGCGATATGTCTTTCATGATTCATTCCTTTAACCAACACGACTTTAACTAATTTCAGGTCTTCAACTGAAGACAATTGTAGATATTCGGTCATTGCTGTATGATTATATAAGTGAAATTGTTCAGTACGGCACAGAACCCGAATTGGCAAAATCATATCAACACATCTCAACGGTTTAAAAATCTCAAAATTACATATGTACACTTCTTCAAACCAAACATATGACATCCACTTGGCACAATTTCCTCTGATACCCTTAACCTCTCCCTTCTTCTCCCTAGCTTCAAACCAAGATGGCGGTTTGGTGGTTACTTTGTTGTTGTTTCCTGAATGCTAACCCTATTCGACTTGTACTGTGACATACTACTGAAGTTCTGGTCGGGCGAGAGGTTGATGCGGCGTACGTTGAGGTCTGAGGCGAACGCTCGCGCTTTCTGGTAGAAGAAGAGCGAGAGCTCCCGGTCGACCAGAAAGTTGTGGTAGATCGAAGCCAATCGCGTGCAGAGCTGGAGCTGGGACTTCTTGTTGCCGAGATCCATGGCTGCTGCCAGCGCCAGGTGGTAGTACCCCGCGGCGTCGTAGGGGTCCTAAAGGTCAAAGGTGAAAGGTGAAAGGTTAGGGGTCAGGGTTTAGAGGTAAGATTGGATGGGGTCAGCGGAGGAATCGTTAAAGCTGTTTTGGTCCATGTGAGTCAAGCAGTTTTATGAGTGGGAGAATATGAACACAATGAAATGAAAAACTCATGCGTCTTCTTGGATCCTCTATGTTTTCCATGGTTGGGGTCAACTCCATCATGACATGGAATTTCTCCAAAGGAGTGTAATTCAAATCCTGTATTGACTGGAACTTAAGAAGGAATTGACTTCAACTACTCTCATGTACTCTTGTCAACCATCAGTTTAAAAATCAAAACCATTTGTATTTCTTTTAATTGTGTATTGAAAACCTAAAATGCAAAAAACAGTCTATGTATAACTGCCATTGTTTTCAGATTATTTTACCTTCAGGTCGTAGAAGATGATGTCCCCTAGCGTCTGATAGACTCTGACGTAGTACAGGGTTTCCTCATCAAACTCCAGGGGCGTGGGGCAGAGGGAGAGGGTCTTCAGGTAGTAGTGTTCAGCCAGTTCAAACTGACCCAGACAGTGGTACAGGGTAGCCAGACGGTGGAAGGCCACACGCTCGTTTAGACTATTTCCTATTTCAAAATATACAACCACAATTTCATTAGTTAGTATTTCTTCACAAAATGAGCTATAAACAGGCTGTGGACATTGCACTTGTTTTTTCTTCCCTGGCACTGATTCTGCTGATGACGGCTATTTTTCCGTTTTATTCTACCAAACTTAATTGAATTCATTATTGTAGGTTGCTGTGGATAAGAGGATCTGCTAATTGTAAATGCAAATTTCTCTAGGGAAATACAAGTAAGGACTAGCGGTGAATCCCAAACCACTCCCTCGACCCTACCAACTCGCTCAGAGGGCTGTCCATTGTCACGTGTTGCTGACGAAACTGAGGGTGACATCCAGAGAGTGGCGAGGGGAACAATAAACCCATCAACTTTGGGACACTCCTGACTTGAATGATGCAATTCACGTTCCACTAAAACGAGCATGAAATTCAAATGAACAATTCTTCTCTGCCGTTTTACAAGATATAAACCTCAGTAACAGTTAAACATTTCATTTGGGAGGTATTTCATATTTTGTGTCAAGTCTCGAAATCAGACATGAAAAAATTAATGTGGCAAATATTTATACACGCCTCTCCATTGTGTGAAATTGTGATAAACTCAAAAACAGCGAAGTGGAATCCCATAAGGCACGGCGCTATTTCTGAAGCCGGCAACGTTGCTGGCTCGGTCAAAGTGGCTATCGGAGGGTCTAATTAGGCCCTACACCCTCCATAAATTTCACTCCCTCAACTTTGGGACACTTGTGCATATGGCGGAGGCGCACGTCAACTCGCAAATGGAGGGCAGAGGGGCTAGGGGAAGGGGAAGGGGGTGATTTGGGATTCAGCCTAGGTCTGGGCTAAGTTAAGTCTGACATCTGGTGGCCATAGCTAGAATACACAGGCTCTGTTGTGTCTTACCCAGTGTAACACTGATGTCCAGGGCAGCCTGGGCGTACTCCACAGCCTCTCCATACAGCTTCAGTTGCAGTAGCAGCTCCACCAGCTTGTTAGACAGCCTCAGTCTGGCCTCTGCACTGCTGGTCCTCACAGCGATGGGCAGGGCACGGTCCTAGAGACACACACAGGGGAGATCACATACATGTACACACACAAAGACATTAGGTCACACACACATGTAAACATACACATGCATGCACACACACACACCCTCTGTCCTACCCAATAGAAGCAGTGTGTGTATGTGTGTGTACCCTATAGAAGCAGACAGCCTTCTCTCTCTCCTGGTTGCTGTTGAAGAAGACATCCCCTGCTGCCTCCAGCAGCTGTAGGATAAAGTGTGTGTCTCCTGTACTCAGGCCCACATCTTGGGCCACCTGGGAGGAATACAATAAGTCAATGTAACTCTGAGTCAATGCTGTGTGCTCTGTATAATAGAATATAATAAAATACAGTAGAATAGGTTCTGACCTGTACATAGAGGTCCACCAGTTCGGTTTGGCCCAGCATGTGGTATATCTTCCCAGCCTGCAACCAGGCATATGCCTCCTTCTCCTTCCGGCCCAGGTCTATGAAGATACCCAGGCTACGTTTGGTGTAGTCCAGAGCAGACCGCCTAGCCCTGGACACAGAGATAGAAAGGAAGGGACAGAAATGTTATCATTTGCTGCCAACTAGAGACAGACAGACAGACACATCTCACACACACACACACACCCGTGCCCTTTCCACACACACCTCTCTGTCTCCAGACTGAGGTATAGCTGGCTGATGGTCTCCAGCACCTCCCCCTCCTGTCCCCTGTCTCCCCGGGTCGCCAGTAGGGTCAGCTGATGTTCGTTGTAGATGATGCACTGAGCTGCGTCAGAACATACAGCTCCGTACAGGTGGCACAGACGCCGTGTCGCACTTAACTGGCCTGGGACACACATAACAGGGATGGATAGAGTCATGTCAACATAGCAACAGCATATACACTGAGTGTACAAAACATTAGGAACATTGATTTGCACGCACCCCCATCCCCCACAGGGATGCTGGCCCATGTTAACTCCAATGCTTCCCACAGTTGTCAAGTTGGCTGGATGTCCTTTGGGTGGTGGACCATTCTTGATACACATGGGAAACTGTTGAGTGTGAAAAATCCAGCAGCATTGAAGTTCTTGACATAAACCGGTGCGCCTGGCACCTACTACCATATCCCGTTCAAAGGCACTTAAATCTTTTGTGTTTCCCATTCACCCTCTGAATGGCAGACATACAGTGGGGAAAAAAAGTATTTAGTCAGCCACCAATTGTGCAAGTTATCCCACTTAAAAAGATGAGAGAGGCCTGTAATTTTCATCATAGGTACACGTCAACTATGACAGACAAAATGAGAAAAAAAAATCCAGAAAATCCCATTGTAGGATTTTTAATGAATTTATTTGCAAATTATGGTGGAAAATAAGTATTTGGTCAATAACAAAAGTTTCTCAATACTTTGTTATATACCCTTTGTTGGCAAGGACACAGGTCAAACGTTTTCTGTAAGTCTTCACAAGGTTTTCACACACTGTTGCTGGTATTTTGGCCCATTTCTCCATGCAGATCTCCTCTAGAGCAGTGATGTTTTGGGGCTGTCGCTGGGCAACACGGACTTTCAACTCCCTCCAAAGATTTTCTATGGGGTTGAGATCTGGAGACTGGCTAGGCCACTCCAGGACCTTGAAATGCTTCTTACGAAGCCACTCCTTCGTTGCCCGGGCGGTGTGTTTGGGATCATTGTCATGCTGAAAGACCCAGCCACGTTTAATCTTCAATGCCCTTGCTGATGGAAGGAGGTTTTCACTCAAAATCTCACGATACATGGCCCCATTCATTCTTTCCTTTACACGGATCAGTCGTCCTGGTCCCTTTGCAGAAAAACAGCCCCAAAGCATGATGTTTCCACCCCCATGCTTCACAGTAGGTATGGTGTTCTTTGGATGCAACTCAGCATTCTTTGTCCTCCAAACACGACGAGTTGGGTTTTTACCAAAAAGTTCTATTTTGGTTTCATCTGACCATATGACATTCTCCCAATCCTCTTCTGGATCATCCAAATGCACTCTAGCAAACTTCAGACGGGCCTGGACATGTACTGGCTTAAGCAGGGGGACACGTCTGGCACTGCAGGATTTGAGTCCCTGGCGGCGTAGTGTGTTACTGATGGTAGGCTTTGTTACTTTGGTCCCAGCTCTCTGCAGGTCATTCACTAGGTCCCCCCGTGTGGTTCTGGGATTTTTGCTCACCGTTCTTGTGATCATTTTGACCCCACGGGGTGAGATCTTGCGTGGAGCCCCAGATCGAGGGAGATTATCAGTGGTCTTGTATGTCTTCCATTTCCTAATAATTGCTCCCACAGTTGATTTCTTCAAACCAAGCTGCTTACCTATTGCAGATTCAGTCTTCCCAGCCTGGTGCAGGTCTACAATTTTGTTTCTGGTGTCCTTTGACAGCTCTTTGGTCTTGGCCATAGTGGAGTTTGGAGTGTGACTGTTTGAGGTTGTGGACAGGTGTCTTTTATACTGATAACAAGTTCAAACAGGTGCCATTAATACAGGTAACGAGTGGAGGACAGAGGAGCCTCTTAAAGAAGAAGATACAGGTCTGTGAGAGGCAGAAATCTTGCTTGTTTGTAGGTGACCAAATACTTATTTTCCACCATAATTTGCAAATAAATTCATTAAAAATCCTTCAATGTGATTTTCTGGAATTTTTTTTTCTCAATTTGTCTGTCATAGTTGACGTGTACCTATGATGAAAATTACAGGCCTCTCTCATCTTTTTAAGTGGGAGAACTTGCACAATTGGTGGCTGACTAAATACTTTTTTCCCCCACTGTACACAATTCATGTCTCAATTGTCACAAGGCTTAAAAATCTTTCTTCAACCTGACTCCTCCCCTTCATCTACACTGATTGAAATGGATTTAACAAGTGACATCAATAAGGGATCATAGCTTTCACCTGGTCAGTCTATGTCAAGGAAAGAGCTGGTGTTCATAATGTTTTGTACACTCAGTGTATATGTGACCAAAGGAGATTCAAACCTCAAAACATATTTGGGGATGAATCAGGAATCCTGCAAGTCGAATTAATTTCACATGTACGTACAGTGCATTCGGAAAGTATTCAGACCCCTTGACATTTTCCACATTTTGTTACGTTACTGCCTTATTGTAAAATTGATTCAATAGTTTTTTCCCCTCATAATGACGACGCAAAAACTGTTTACTGTATATTATATTCACATAAGTATACAGACCCTTTCCTCAGTACTTTGTTGAAGCACCTTTGGCAGCGATTACAGCCTTGAGTCTTCTTGGGTATGACGCTACAAGCTTGGCACACCAGTATTTGGAGAGTTTCTCCCATTCTTCTCTGCAGATCCTCTCAAGCTCTGTCAGGTTGGATGGGGAGCGTCGCTGCACAGCTATTTCAGGTCTCTCCAGAAATGTTAGATCGGGTTCAAGTCCGGGCTCTGGCTGGGCTACTCAAGGACATTCAGAGACTTGTCCCGAAGCCACTCCTGCGTTGTCTTGGCTGTGTGCTTAGGGTCGTTGTTCTGTTGGAAGGTGAACCTTTGCCCCAGTCTGAGGTCCTGAGCACTCTGGAGCAGGTTTTCATCATGGATCTCTCTGTACTTTGCTCCATTCATCTTTCCCTCGATCCAGACTAGTCTCCCTGCCACTGAAAAACATCCCCACAGCATGATGCTGCCACCACCATGCTTCACCGTAGGGATAGTATCAGGTTTCCTCCAGACGTAACACTTGGCATTCAGGCCAAAGAGTTCAATCTTGGTTTCATCAGACCAGAGAATCTTGTTTCTCATGGTCTGAGAGTCCTTTAGGTGCCTTTTGGCAAACTCCAAGCGGGCTGTCATGTGCCTTTTACTGAGGAGTGGCTTCCATCTGGCCACTCTACCATAAAGGCATGATTGGTGGAGTGCTGCAGAGGTGGTGGTCCTTCTGGAAGGTTCTCCCATCTCCACAAAGGAACTCTGGAGCTCTGTCAGAGTGACCATCAGGTTCTTGGTCATCTCCTTGACCAAGGCCCTTCTCCCGCGATTGCTCAGTTTGGCCGGGCGGCCAAGAATGATGGAGGCCACTGTGTTCTTTGGGACCGTCAATGCAGCAAAACATTTTTGGTACCATTCCCCAGATCTCTGCCTCAACACAAACCTGTCTCGGAGCTCTACGGACAATTCCTTTGACCTCATGGCTTGGTTTTTTCTCTGAGATGCACTGTCAACCTTATATAGACAGGTGTGTGCCTTTCCAAATCATGTCCAATCAATTGAATTTACCACAGGTGGACTCCAATTAAGTTGTAGAAACATCTCATGATGAACAATGGAAACAGGATGCACCAGAGCTCAATTTCGAGTCTCATAGCAAAGGGTCTGAATACTTATGTAAGTAAGGTATTTCTGTATTTATTTTTAATAAATGTGCAAAAAAATCTAAAAACCTGTTTTCTCTTTGTCATTATGGGGCATTGTGTGTAGACTGAAGAGGAAAACTATATATTTAATCAATTTTAGAATACTCTACCCACTACTGTCAGACTGTATAATAACTCTAGCTCTTAAATGGTTTTCCCAAAAAGTATATTTTTTACAATCACATTTTAATATTTCAATTTCCATCATGAAAAATGTCCTGTAATGTTTCAAGTGTTCTGCATTCTATTTATGTCATGTATTATGAGTTATATATTTCAAATGAGTGTTTTGCAATTATTAGTAATGTAAATTCTGCATTTCTTCAGTTTTATCTGTGAGCAAGAATAAACAAACTCAAACTCAATACGGCTGTAACGTAACAATATGTGGAAAAAGTGAAGGAGTCTGAATACTTTCCGTTTTCAGGATGCGCAGCCAAGGGACCCCATACCTCACACTGTTGTTTCAGCAGTGTACCATAAGTGTGTGTTTGCATGAATGTGTGTGTTCGTGTGTGTTCCTATGCGCACGTGCGTGCGTGTGGTGTGTGTAAGTTGACCACTTCTATGCGTAACACACTCACACTGAGAAAAGGAGGTAAGCAGTAAAAACACTTACTGTCTAAATGGTTTGACTTGATGGCCATCAGCAGAGCCCACTCAAAGTAGATCTTCCCTCTTTCCAGGAGTCTCTGGTTCACACAGTGCTGTCCCAGCTCCAGCAGCACTGTTATAAAGTTCACCTCATGCTCCTCTCCACCCAGCTCTGAGAACAGCGCCACGGCTTCCGTGAGGTGCCCCTCCGCCAGACCCTTGAATTGAATTAAATTTTGGGTGAAATGATATATACATCTAGCAAGATGTGCATTTGATCCCAGAGGATATCACTAGAAAACATCAATTAAAACACTTATTTCCAAAGTGGTCCTTGATGGTAAAACAAACAATATATCGAATGTAAAAGACAAGAAGTTACAAAACAAAAACATGATATAAATACCTTAGCCCCAGCCTTCAGACACAGCATCCCCAGGTTAGCCTGCACGACTGCCCAGTTGGCCCTGAGAGAAGGGTTTATTTTACAATAAAAGAAACATTATATAGTATCAATAGCAGAATTATTTGATACAATGTTCACATTTTAAACACACAAGAATGATCATTACCTGTCTTCGAACTCCTCACACACATTAATGGCCGCCTGGTAGCTCTCTGCCGCCCTCCGCAGGTCTCCCGTGCATCGAAGTGCCACACCCCTCATGTTGTGGACCAATCCTTAATAATTCAATTTATAAATAATAATAAATAATATAATTATCCAAAGCAACTTACAGTCATGCGTGCATACATTTTTTTTTTGTGTATGGGTGGTCCCGGGGATCGAACCCACTACCTTAGCGTTACAAGCGCCGTGCTCTACCAGCTGAGCTACAGAGGACCACTTTATCAATCGATATCTGCATTAAATTGGGAAATTTGTCATACAGCCAGGGTACAAACATACAACAGATATAATCATAAGATAAATAGCAACCTTCCTGTTGGGTAGTGCAGTGTTCTGGCATGGAGGCCAGCACTGAGTCGAGGACGTCTAGAGATACCTCCGGTTGGCTGTTACAGATGTGCAGCCAGGCTAGCCACACGAGGGTGCTGTTGCGTTCAGGGCTGCTAGTGGCGCCCAATGATGATGACGGCCCGCAATGATGGTCTATGAGAGTGTGCATGGAGCATACTGCGCGTCCTAGCATCCTGTGTTTCTGAAACAGCTGGGATAGGCAAAGTGTGAGTGCCTGGCTTAGAGTGTGGTCGCCATTGCCACCGACTCCATCTAATTCCCAAGTGAAAGAGAGCGACCGGCTCAGATACGGAGCCACTTGAGCAGGAATGGCGACTTCCTGCTTCCGGATCCCATAGAGTCTGGCTGTGTTCTCCAGCACTAGCCCCATTCCACTCAGACAATTGGCTAGCCTAGCGGACGGATGCATTGTGGCTCTCCTGGCTGAGCTGACACAGAGGTGGGGGAGGGAGAGCTGGCTGTACAGTCTCCCCAGGCTCAGGTAGCCGTGACTGGGCGTGACGCTCCGGACACCTGGGGGCTCCGCCGAGAGAACCAGAAGCCTCTCCAAGAACGGCACGGCGTCCGTCCCCTCGCCTCGCCTCCAGTGGAGCTTTGCTAGAAGGAAACAAGCGCGTGCTTCGGCCATCTTGTTATGAGCGAGAACCGCCTTCTTCAGGATGAACTTGAGGACTTCAGAGTCTTTCTCTACAGTAGAGACGCAGTCAGGGATACCCATGAGCAATGCAGCAATCCGCTCTGACAGAGCAAAGTACTTCTCTGTGTTTTTTTGCATGAGATAGATCACAGCTAGGTTAACGTAGATGCTAGCTAGCATTAGCATGTCCATGAATCCGTCTCGAGGGATACTGAGGGCCTCCTCGAAGTAGACGCGAGCCTGGGAGAATTTTGAGCTTCCCGAACAGAGTTTCCCCAAAAGCAAACAGAGGCGGCTCTGCGACCAATGGAGACGCTTCTTCCTGGCCATTTCCCTGGCAATGCCTAAGTATGCAACCAATTCGTCAATGTTGTCCGAGTGGCCGTTGAATGTGGCGAGGAGCAGTTCCGGGGATTGTCCGTAGAGGGTGCCAAAATCTGGCTTGTAGTCAGAGCCGTCCAGGAAGGATAGAAGAGGAAGGAGTTTCTCTTGGTTGGTGGGGGTGCCTTCCTCTACTGGGTGGATGGTGAAGTGAGACCCACTGGGTAATATAGTCTTAGAAGACTCACTGTGGTCCTCCAGAGTTCCGTTTGTAGTCACAGTCGCACAAGGCACTTTCTCCTTCACTTCTTGTAGAATCTCTTCTATCTTCCTCTTTAGTTCTGCTTGGTGGTGAGCGTCCATGTTTCCTTGGGAACCATCTGTAAGACATTAGATGAAGATGATTATTTATGATGTTGTTGACATGTGGGAGGAGACAGAACATTTTAATTATTTGAATCGTTTTTTAGGTTGAGAAGGAAAACAATATACTACTCAAACCCAACTGTCCAGGCTGTGCTATTTGTACAAAGCAAACAATAAATACGCCTACTTTGAGTTAGTTCCTTTGGAGAATCCTGTTGATCAATCAGATCTGGAATAAAAGGGATAATTCATGAATCAATATCATAACTGACCGTCTTTACACAGTAAGGAGTCTTAGAGAGCTGTTCATCACCAACAAAATGAGCCTGCACATTTCTCAATTTCTGTCTCACCAAGTTTGTAGACGGATCCAACATCATTCTGGGAGATTTTCTTCAGCAAGGCAATAGTTTCTTCTTTGATCTGCTCTTCTCTCAGGTTAAAAAACAACCTTTCTTCTTTGTCTAGGAATATGTCCGCCGACCTAAAAGTGGATTGATTAAGCAAAAATAGGTAGAATAATAACACTTTTTAAAAGGAACGCGAGGACCTACTATGTGGGTTTGAACATCTAATTTGTCATGGCTCTGAAAGCATTGTCCACAGTGTGCATTTACTGTAATACAGTGATAGAGATGTATAACATTTTACATTTTAGTCATTTAGCAGATGCTCTTATCCAGAGCGACTTAGAGGTTAGTGAGTGCATACATTTTTTCATTCTGGCCCCCCGTGGGAATCGAACCCACAACCCTGGCGTTGCAAGTGCCATGCTCTACCAATTGAGCTACAGGAGGCCACTACATACACTAGATGGCTGATATCATTGTGCTGCATAGTTGCCGGGATGCCAATGACCATTCTAGTGTTCTATTTAATTCTATGAATATATGACTACTGTATACATGATGAAACATCATGATGCAGTTCATCAAAATATAACTCATCAGAATGATACACTTACAAAGGATATTGGCTGATTGATTGAATGATTGATTGATATAACTCAGCAGATACACTTACTCACGAAGGGTATCATCAGCTGGCTTGACCAGTGTTGTCCTCACCAGTCCCACCTCTCCTGTCCTCTCCAGCCTGCCAGTGAACCACTCGAAGCACGACACCAACAGGCCTACAATGATGATGCGATCACCCTGCTCCAGGCTCAGCTCATCTGGCCCTCCGGCGTCATACTCCACAGTGGCAACGCAGGAGCCTGTGGCTAGCATGGGGAGAGGAGGATAGGGAGAGGGAAGGATGGAATTTGAATTTTAGGGTTGGTTTAGAATTCCCCCACTAGTTGGTTTAGAATTCCCCCAATAATTCTAATTCTATGGGAAAGAGACGGGACAGAGGAGACCTTAGAACTAAGATATGTCTAGGAAAGTCTAGAATTATCCTACAGATGGGAGAATGGGAACTCAATGAAGAATACTACAGAACTAGATTACATTGATTTACTGTGTAGAAATCTGTACATTGATGGAATGTGAACTGCTTACCAAACTGGCAGAGGAAGTCACATGCTGGCTTGCCACTACCAACTAAGATGTTCTCCGCACAGGATTTCAAGAACCATCTTTAGGGAGTGAAATAATATGAAGTGTTTATTTCCAAAATGCGATACAGTGGGGGAAAAAAATATTTAGTCAGCCACCAATTGTGCAAGTTCTCCCACTTAAAAAGATGAGAGAGGCCTGTAATGTTCATCATAGGTACACATCAACTATGACAGACAAATAGAGATGAAAAAATCCAGAAAAACACACTGTAGGATTTTTTATGAATTTATTTGCAAATTATGGTGAAAAATAAGTATTTGGTCACCTACAAACAAGCAAGATTTCTGGCTCTCACAGACCTGTAACTTCTTCTTTAAGAGGCTCCTCTATCCTCCACTTGTTACCTGTATTAATGGCACCTATTTGAACTTGTTATCAGTATAAAAGACACCTGTCCACAACCTCAAACAGTCACACTCCAAACTCCACTATGGCCAAGACCAAAGAGCTGTCAAAGGACACCAGAAACAAAATTGTAGACCTGCACCAGGCTGGGAAGACTGAATCTGCAATAGGTAAGCAACTTGGTTTGAAGAAATCAACTGTGGGAGCAATTATTAGGAAATGGAAGACATACAAGACCACTGATAATCTCCCTCGATCTGGGGCTCCACGCAAGATTTCACCCCGTGGGGTCAAAATGATCACAAGAACGGTGAGCAAAAATCCCAGAACCACACGGGGGGACCTAGTGAATGACCTGCAGAGAGCTGGGACCAAAGTAACAAAGCCTACCATCAGTAACACACTACGCCGCCGGGGACTCAAATCCTGCAGTGCCAGACGTGTCCCCCTGCTAAAGCCAGTACATGTCCAGGCCCGTCTGAAGTTTGCTAGAGTGCATTTGGATGATCCAGAAGAGGATTGGGAGAATGTCATATGGTCAGATGAAACCAAAATAGAACTTTTTGGTAAAAACTCAACTCGTCGTGTTTGGAGGACAAAGAATGCTGAGTTGCATCCAAAGAACACCATACCTACTGTGAAGCATGGGGGTGGAAACATCATGCTTTGGGGCTGTTTTTCTGCAAAGGGACCAGGACGACTGATCCTTGTAAAGGAAAGAATGAATGGGGCCATGTATCGTGAGATTTTGAGTGAAAACCTCCTTCCATCAGCAAGGGCATTGAAGATGAAACGTGGCTGGGTCTTTCAGCATGACAATGATCCCAAACACACCGCCCGGGCAACGAAGGAGTGGCTTCGTAAGAAGCATTTCAAGGTCCTGGAGTAGCCTAGCCAGTCTCCAGATCTCAACCCCATAGAAAATCTTTGGAGGGAGTTGAATGTCTGTGTTGCCCAGCGACAGCCCCAAAACATCACTGCTCTAGAGGAGATCTGCATGGAGGAATGGGCCAAAATACCAGCAACAGTGTGTGAAAACCTTGTGAAGACTTACAGAAAACGTTTGACCTGTGTCATTGCCAACAAAGGGTATATAACAAAGTATTGAGAAACTTTTGTTATTGACCAAATACTTATTTTCCACCATAATTTGCAAATAAATTCATTAAAAATCCTACAATGTGATTTTCTGGATTTTTTTTCCTCATTTTGTCTGTCATAGTTGACGTGTACCTATGATGAAAATTACAGGCCTCTCTCATATTTTTAAGTGGGAGAACTTGCACAATTGGTGGCTGACTAAATACTTTTTTCCCCCACTGTATATCCAATTTTCAAAAATGTTGGTAAATTAGCTTTTATTGTTTAAAGAACTTATGAAAGATATTGGTGTGTTTTTTCACTATTTAATCATGGCATTGGGTTGTTTAAAATCTATCACTTGATGGTTTCATTTCAGAAAACAAATAATTATATTGTTTTGCAAAATGCTACATATCCGCCTCCCTCTCAGAGAAATAAGCAGTGCTGCTAGGTTTAACACAGTCAAATGTAATAATTAACTACATTTTTTATAAAGAACTGTACAGATGTTACATTTGTCACATCAATATTTAAAAAATGTTTTTTGGGGTTGGTGGCACCTTAATTGGGGAGGACGGGCTCATGGTAATGGCCGGAGCGGCATAGTTGGAATGGTATCAAATACATCAAACACATGGTTTCCATGTGTTTGATGCCATTCCATTGGCTCCGTTCCAGCCATTATTATGAACCGTCCTCCCCTCAGCAGCCTCCACTGAATTAACTACAGTAATATGAGATCTGTATGTAAAACATTTACATTTAACATTTTAGTCCTTTAGCAGATGCTCTTATCCAGAGTGACTTAATGTTAGTGCATTCATCTTCTGATATCTAGGTGAGCCAACCACATATCACAGTCAAATATAAAGGATACAAACATTATTTTCCAGCTAAACAATGGATATATAGTGTTTTGCAAAGAAACACATTTTAATACACATCTGAGAACAGTAATATTTTACACATACATGAAGATACCCATAAGCAATAATTGCTGATGAAAATACACAATGTGAAAAATTGGTGGATATAGCGTTTTGGATATAAACTATTCACATATATATATTTATATTGCAGAATATTAACAATGGTGAAATTATATAGTTTATATTTTACTGACTGGTGGAAGGGTATGACGGGCTCCAGGGCTGGTTTGGGCTTGGTCCCCCGGGCTCCATCCCCCAGGGAGAGTACAGTCCACCCCGACCCCAAGAACGGGGGCTCGAACAGGGCTATGTCCCCCTGCTCCAGGTAGAGGTCACTACCAGAGGTGGAGCTGTCAAACATCTGGGTGGAACTGCAGCTGGCGAAGAAGGAACCTAAGAGAGGGGGAGAGATTTGGTAATATTTTATTTTAAGAGCTTCTAGGAATGTATAACATTGTACCTAATATCGGATAACATCCTAGCTAGCAAATTTGGTTCCTGGGAAGTTGTGTGAATGTACGTTTTTGGTTTCCCATTGGTTCTGGGAACAAAGCCATACGTTTCCTGACCGGTATAAATACACGTTTTTTTTAACGTTTCGCCTGTTCTGGGAACATACATTTTTAGGTTGCAGGAAGGTTCTGAGAACATTTGACTATGGTTCCCTAAATGTTTTCCTGCGAAGTTTTATTAACGTTCTGAGAATGGAAATTATAGGTTATTTGAAAGTAATTAAATAACGTTTTGAGAACATGTTTGAATAAGAACTTTGATAAAACTGCTAGCTTAAGTTAACTCCTAGTACCGATATAAATTAATTTGCTTAGACATTAATCATGCAAACATTTCTTTTTATTTTGGCACGCCGTCAGTGAGATTCAAACCTATGATCTTCTGTTCTCTATTCATGGAATTAGTCCACTGCGGCACAAGGATGGAGCTAGCATGCTGTGTTTTTTGTTTTACTCATACAAAGCTGTTCATTTTAGTCTATTCAAACAGACCCCATTTCAAAGGAAACAAGCACATTGAGATCAGGTGTGGCCAATTAGTGGGTGCGGCCAACATACCTGAACACAATTAACAAGATGGAGGCTTGAGAGAGTTTTGTTGATGCTGCGAACAAATTGTATATGTTTTTAAATAACATTCTTAGAATGTTCTTTGAACGCTACTAATTTTTTATTGTGTTTTTTAACGGAAAGTTTCCTTCATGTTCTGAGAACATTAGTTTAAATAGAACCATGAGGAAACCTGCAGAAAACGTTATGCATAAGTACTGAAATTCCCACATAAGAAACATATGGTCCTCAGAACGTTATGTGGTAGCTGGGTATCCTGCACCATTCCCAGAACATTGTGGGAAGGTTGTATGGAAAATAACCATAGGACAACCACGCTTTCAGAAACATATGGTTTTCAGAACGTTATGCGATAGCTGGGATACCTGTAGCATCTTATAACACTATAAGCTTATTTTTATGTGTTTGATGCCATTCCATTGGCTCCGTTCCAGCCATCTTTGGTATGATTCGACTGGGGATCGAAGTCCCAACCTTCCAATCTCAGGTTGGACACTAACCATAAGGCCACTGAGTTGGTCAACAACAATGCACATTGTAAAGATAGAAAAAAGCTGTCAAAGTCAGACATCTTCATGTTAAAACTCCCTGCAACATTTTAGGCATGAGTAGAGAGTTAGATAGTTACCCTCTTGCATGAGGATGCCTTTGTACATGAGGTTGAGAGTCTCCTCTTGGATAGAGATCTCTATGCCCACGTCCTTCTGGTCCATAGAGCTCAACCAGAAGTCCTGGTCTAGGAGCAGGTTCTCCATGCAATGACCCAGAAAACCTGGGGATCAGAGGTTAGAGGTCAATAGGTCAGAGGTCAGCCAGAAGTCCTGGTCCAGCAGCAGGTTCTCCATACACTGGCATAGGAAGCCCGGACAACAGAGGTCAACAGGTCGTTAGTGAGGAAACTGTTATTTAAAGTCCTATTCGAATTGGAATTTACGTAGTATTTGTTAAGAAATTATGTAGCTAGTACTTTCATGTTCTAAGAAAATATAACACATTTGATTTGAACATCCAAGTATCCTCTTATCCCATACAAACAGAGTTTGTTGTTCTGTAGTTTCCCTATTCTGTGTGTTTATAATACATACCCATTGTGTAATACGTGGTGAACTTCCATATCTCTTCGAATGTTTTGAATGCGACTAATATGACGTTTTCTTCACTGTTGATGGAGACCAGCCTGGCAGAGAGTTCCTTAAGAACAGGAGAGGAGAACAGAGGAGAGGTTGTACATGAGATGTTGATTCATTTAAACCTGTTTGGTCAATATTAAGCAATGTAATCTGTGATTAAGATACTTACTGGTATTCAATATGAACAATCACAAACTGATAACAAAACCATTTAAAGGGATACTTCGGGATCTACTTCCCCAGAATCAGATGAACTTGTGGATACCATTTTTATGTCTCTGTGTCCAGTATGAAGGAAGTTAGAGGTAGTTTTGCAAGCCAATGCTATCTAGTGTTAGCACAATGTCTGGAAGTCTATGTAGCGGTAAAGCAGGTGATAACAAATCTGCAGATATGCCACGACCATACATAATGCATTCCTTCTATTCACTATAACTTTACACACTTGCGATAATTCCACAAAAGCTGTGAGAATGCATGTTGACAAAGTGGGGTGTGACTGTGCAATGCTGAGAACAGTATCATAGAGAATGCTGTTTAGCAGAACATATAGATTACTGCTGTACATATAGATTACTCTTGAAAATACATCTTACCTCAACAAGACTAACCTAAATGTTCAGAAAGATCCAAGATGGCATAGCAGTGCAGTCGTGTCCTCTGTGTGTGTCCGTGTAAATAGCCTGTTTTTTGTATTTTTTTTAACATATTTCCCTAGCACACTTTTCATCCTTCTACTAAATATGCGTTTCCTGCAACCCACCTCACTCAATGTGGAACGGATTCTATGATTGACTTACCTTTTATCTAGAATCTCCAGTTGAAACTAGCTAGCCAGCTAACTAGCTACTTGCTATTAGCCACCGTTAGCGGTTTTCACCCAGAACATCGGATTTTCTGCCGGAATAACTGAATCAATGGACATTAACACCGGATCGCAACTAGCTAGCCGCAACCGAATGGATGTTGCTGTTTGCTAATCACCACTGCCCCCCGAAGCAAGCACCAGTTAGCCTTGAGCTAGCCTCGAGCCAGGCCCATATCCCGGCTATCTACCTCTCTGTCTACCGGACGGGAGTAGCCAGCTAACTAGCTACTTGCTATTAGCCACCGTTAGCGGTCTTTCACCATTGTCTGTGGCCTGCACTACCTACCAGCCAGCTCTAGCCTGGACTATTATCGGCCAGTCTGCACTGTCTGCACAGCGCGTTATCGACCCGAGAACATATCGGTTTTTCTGCCGGAATCACTAAATCACTGGACCTTTAACTCCGGATCATCGCAACTAGCTAGCTGCAACCAAATGGATGTTGTTGTTGGCTAATCAGCCTTGAGCTAGCCTCGAGTCAGGCCCATCTCCCGGCTATCTACCTCTCTGTCAACCGGACGGGACCTCCTAGAGTCGACATGGAGCCCCGCCGATCCATCACGACTGGTCTGCCGACGTAATCGTCTGTGGTTTCAACAGGCTTCCTGTTGCGACGACCACGAAGATCCATCTGCTAGCCCCGGCCCGCTAGCACACGCAAACAACAGCCGTGCTTCCTGCTAGCCTGTGCTGTAGCACCAATTCGAACTGCTCTCGGACTCACATATTGCTGTTCACTGGACCTTATGATCACTCAGCTGCACAACTGATGCCTGCTGGACTGTTCCTTTACACGGTACCCTGTCCTGTTTATCTGTTTAGCCTCAGCCCAAACTTTTATCGCCATTACCAGTTGTTGTCTTAGCTCTCTCGAATAACACCTGTGATTGCTTTATGCCTCTCTCCCATGTCAATATGCCTTGCCTATTGCTGTTCCAGTTAGTTCTTATTATACAATTTCACTGTAAAGCCCCAAGTCCCTCTCAAACTGCCTCAAATAGCTCCTTTGTTCCACCCCCCATACACGCGGAGACCGGCTCAATCGGTGCCTCCAGTGATGCTATCGCTTTCATTGTTACCCAACGCTTAGGTTTACCTCCACTGTACTCATATCCTTCCATATCCTTGTCTGTACATAATGCCCTGAATCTATTCTACAACGCCCGGAAATCTGCCCCCTTTACTCTCTTCTCTGTACCCAACGCACTAGAAGACCAGTTCTTAAAGCCTTTAGCCGTATCCTTATTCTAGTCCTCCTCTGTTCCTCTGGTGATGTAGAGGTTAACCCAGGCCCTGCAGCCCCCAGTATCACTCCTACTCCCCAGGAGCTATCATTAATTGACTTCTGTAACCGTAAAAGCATTGGTTTTTTTGCATATTAACATCAGAAGCCTCCTCCCTAAGTTTGAGTTATTCACTGTGTTAGCACACTCCACCAACCCTGATGTTCTAGCAGTGTCTGAATCCTGGCTTAGGAAGGCCACCAAAAAGGCCCCAACTACAACATTTTCCGTCTAGATAGAACTGCCAAAGGGGGTGGAGTTGCAATCTACTGTAGAGATAGCCTGCAGAGCTCTATCATACTATCCAGGTCTGTGCCCAAACAGTTTGAGCTCCTACTTCTAAAAATCCACCTTTCCAGAAATACATCTCTCACTGTTGTCACTTGCTACAGACCCCCCTTAGCCCCCAGCTGTGCCCTGGACACCATATGTGAATTGATTGCCCCCCATCTATCCTCAGAGTTCGTACTGCTTGGTGACCTAAACTGGGATATGCTTAACACCCCGGCCATCCTACAATCCAAACTAGATGCCCTCAATCTCACACAAATTATCAAGGAACCTAGCAGGTATAACCCTAAATCCGTAAACATGGCCACCCTTATAGATATCCTCCTGACTAACTTACCCTCTAAATACACCTCCTCTGTCTTCAACCAGGATCTCAGCGATCACTGCCTTATTGCCTGTGTCTGTAATGGGTCCGCGGTCAAACGACCACCCCTCATCACTGTCAAACGCTCCCTAAAACACTTTAGCGAGCAGGCCTTCCTAATTGACCTGGCCCAGGTATCCTGGATGGATATCGATCTCATTCCGTCAGTAGAGGATGCCTGGTTGTTCTTTAAAAGTGCTTTCCTCTCTATCTTAAATAAGCATGCCCCGTTCAAAAAATTCTGAACTAAGAACAGATATAGCCCCTGGTTCTCCTCAGACTTGACTGCCCTTGACCAGCACAAAAACATCCTGTGGCGTACTGCATTAGCATCGAATAGCCCCCGCGATATGCAACTTTTCAGGGAAGTTAGGAACCAATATACACAAGCAGTTAGGAAAGCAAAGGCTAGCTTTCAAACATAAATTTGCATCCTGTAGCACTAACTCAAAAAAAGTTTTGGGACACTGTAAAGTCCATGGAGAATAAGAGCACCTCCTCCCAGCTGCCCACTGCACTGAGGCTAGGAAACACTATCACCACCGATAAATCTACAATAATCGAGAATTTCAACAAGCATTTTGCTACGGCTGGCCATGCTTTCCACCTGGCTACCACTACCCCGGTCACCAGCTCTGCACCCTCCGCTGCAACTTGCCCATGCCCCCTCCCCTGCTTCTCCTTCACACAAATTCAGACAGCTGATGTTCTGAAAGAGCTGCAAAATCTGGACCCCTACAAATCATCTGGGCTAGACAATCTGGACCCTTTCTTTCTAAAATTAGCCGCCGAAATTGTCGCAACCCCTATTACTAGCCTGTTCAACCTCTCTTTCGTAACGTCTGAGATCCCCAAAGATTGGAAAGCTCCGCGGTCATCCCCATTTTCAAAGGGGGTGACACTCTAGATCCAAACTGTTACAGACCTATATCCATCCTGCCCTGCCTTTCGAAAGTTTTTGAAAGCCAAGTTAACAAACAGATCACCGACCATTTTGAATCACACCGTACCTTCTCCGCTATGCAATCCGGTTTCCGAGCTGGTCATGGGTGCACCTCAGCCACGCTCAAGGTCCTAAACGATATTATAACCGCGATCGATAAAAGACAGTACTGTGCAGCCGTCTTCATCGACCTGGCCAAGGCTTTCGACTCTGTCAACCACTGCATTCTTATTGGCAGACTAAATAGCCTTGGTTTCTCAAATGACTGCCTCGCCTGGTTCACCAACTACTTCTCAGATAGAGTTCAATGTGTCAAATCGGAGGGCCTGTTGTCTGGACCTATGGCAGTCTCTATGGGGGTGCCACAGGGTTCAATTCTTGGGCCGACTCTTTTCTCTGTGTATATCAATGATGTCGCTCTTGCTGCCGGTGATTCTCAGATCCACCTCTACGCAGACGACACCATTTTGTATACATCTGGCCCTTCATTGGACACTGTGTTAACAAACCTCCAAACAAGCTTCAATGCCATACAACACTCCTTCCGTAGCCTCCAACTGCTCTTAAACACTAGTAAAACTAAATGCATGCTCTTCAATCGAACGCTGCTGGCACCCACCCGACTAGAATCACTACTCTCGACGGGTCTGACCTAGAGTATGTGGACAACTACAAATACTTAGGTGTCTGACTAGACTGTAAACTCTCCTTCCAGACTCACATTAAGCATCTCCAATCCAAAGTTAAATCTAGAATCGGCTTCCTATTTCGCAACAAAGCCTCCTTCACTCATGCTGCCAAACATGCCCTTGTAAAACTGACTATCCTACCGATCCTTGACTTCGGCGATGTCATTTACAAAATAGCCTCCAACACTCTACTCAGCAAATTGGATGTAGTCTATCACAGTGCCATCCGTTTTGTCACCAAAGCCCCATATACTACCCACCATTGTGACCTGTACGCTCTTGTTGGCTGGTCCTCACTACATATTCGTCGCCAAACCCACTGGCTCCAGGCCATCTATAAATCACTGCTAGGCAAATCCCCGCCTTATCTTAACTCATTGTTCACCATAGCAACACCCACCCGTAGTATGCGCTCCAGCAGGTATATCTCACTGGTCATCCCCAAAGCCAACACCTCCTTTGGCCGCCATTCCTTCCAGTTCTCTGCTGCCAATGACTGGAACGAACTGCAAAAATCTCTGAAGCTGGAGACTCTTATCTCCCTCACTAACTTTAAGCATCAGTTGTCAGAGCACATTACCGATCACTGCACCTGTACACAGCCCATCTGAAATTAGCCCACCCAACTACCTCATCCCCATATTGTTATTTATTTTGCTCATTTGCACCCCAGTATCTCTATTTGCACATCATCTCTTGCACATCTATCATTCCAGTGTTAATACTAATTGTAATTATTTTGCACTATAGCCTATTTATTGCCTTACCTCCATAACTTGCTACATTTGCACACACTGTATATATATATTTTCTGTTGTATTTTTGACTTTATGTTTTGTTTTGTAAGTCGCTCTGGATAAGAGCGTCTGCTAAATGATGTAAATGTAAATGTAAATGTTTTATCCCCATATGTAACATATGTTGTTGTTTTTATCGCACTGCTTTGCTTTATCTTGGCCAGGTCGCAGTTGTAAATGAGAACTTGTTCTCAACTGGCTTACCTGGTTAGATAAAGGTGAAATAAAATACATTTAAAAAACCTGGACACATAAAGGTTGAATAAAGAGGGTCATACTGTGAAGAGAGCGTTGACCTCCGCGCTGTCGGCCTCCAGGAGGCGGAGTTTCCCCCGCAGCACTTCCTGAGATCCCTCGCCTGCAGGGTGCCTGTCGGGCCCCTCCACGAAGGCCAGCAACATGGGTAGAGCTGGAACACAACGTGAAAGGAACACAATATGATACAACACTATATCTATAAAAATTATAAGGACCCAATACGACACAACACCATGTAGGCAGGAAGCCTGTCCAGCAGCATGGGCAACGCTACAACAATCTGATACATCTGAAATGGCCCCCTATTCTTTATACAGTATAGTGCACTACTGTTGACCAAGACCCATAGTGTGTGTGTCTGTGTGTGTGTTTGTGTGTCAGTCTGCTCCTTTGCGATGGGCTTTGAGTACTTTTAAAATACAATTTGTTATAATTTACTCCAGTCAATATCGGACTCTAACCCCAATCTAAGGACACATTACATCTCCATTATAGTCTATGACAAGCTGAGTATGAGCAATTCTTCTCTAGTTAATGTTTTGTAGGAAAGAAGTGGTGACAGAGATACTCAGGTGACTCAATAATAAAACAATAACATTGTGTTTTAAAACACCATGCTGAGGTAACTAACATCCACATTCCACAATTATAGCCTAGTCTAGTCTATAACATCCAAAGGTAGGTCAAAAGATTAGGTTAAGATTTGCCATAGTTAGAGACTCAAAACTCTAATAAATAATGTCAATATGCTGACCGGTATAGTACTAATACTTTATCCTCAATTTTGCTTTACTTCCTATTTCTTTATTAATTGAGGGCTATTTTGGAGCCTACCATATCACTGGTCTGGTGACATTGTGACTGACTGACAGTGTGACTGACCTACAGAGATTAATCAATGACTTCGAAGAGGCTTTCTCAGGGTCTCTCAGGTCCAAGGTATAAAATAGTTAAAATTCACTGTCAACCACATGACTTTCCATAATGAGAAGTGAATTCCTAGCCTGGTTTCAGATGCTAAATGTAACAATGACCATAGGAGTTGGCAAGACAGTACAACAGATCTGGGACCAGGAAAACAAAATTAAATGTCACCTCATCTGCACCTAAATTAATTTTAGGGTTTTTAACGATTGAGATACTTATAAGTCTACAGTGGTAATGTGGATCAAACTACTAGAGCAGGAGGCAACAAACTGAACCCAAAACACTGTTTGTGGTTCTCAACCCATGCTATTGATATGCTGATATTGGAAATATCCATCAGTATGAACTATGAAATATCATGATGGTTCGTAGCAGAATGTCAGTCAAAACTCACAGTTAAATAAGAGAGCTCATCGTGAACAGAGAGAGAGAGAGACCGAGACAGAGGGAGAAATAGAGAGAAAGAGAGGCAGAGCGAGAGAGTGAGAGAGTGAGTGTGAGAGAGAGAGAGAGAGAGCGAGAGAGAGCCAGAGAGAGAGAGAGAGAGAGAGAGAGAGAGAGAGAGAGAGAGAGAGAGAGAAACCCATGAACCATAACTACTCCAACTGCTGAAGCCAAACCTCAAACTCTCTCCCCTCCTCTTTGGAATACTGTGGTTGGAACCTCTGTAAAATTCCATTCCATTTCATGAAAGTTCCACATTGAGAATGAAGTGTCTGATATACATGCACGAGCAGATGGAATTGGAATTTACCCTTTAACTGAATGATGTCAAATTTCTGGGTCCATGAAACATGTAGATATTACAGACTCGGTCAGGGAGAGGTTGAAAATATCAGTGAAGACACTTGCCAGTTTGTCCGCGCATGCTTTCAGTACACGTTCTGGTAATCCGTCTGGCCCCGCGGCTCTGTGAATGTTGACCTGTTTAAAGGTCTTGCTCACATCGGCTACCGAGAGCGTTATCAAACAGTTGTCCGGAACAGCTGGTGCTCTCATGCATGCTTCAGTGTTGCTTGCCTCGAAGCGAGCATTAAAGGCATTTCGCTCATCTGGTAGGCTCGCGTCACTGGGCAGCTCGCGGCTGGGTTTCCCTTTGTAGTCCGTAATAGTTCTAAAGCCCTGCCACATCCAACGAGTGTCAGAGCCGGTGTAGTAGGATTCAATCTTAATCCTGTATTGATGCTTTGCCTGTTTGATGGTTCGTCTGAGGGCGTAGCGGGATTTATTTTAAGCGTCCAGATTAGTGTCCCGCTCCTTGAAAGCGGCAGCTCTTTAGCTCGATGCGGATGTTGCCTGTAATCCATGGCACTTATTGATGAAGCTAATGACTGAGGTGGTAAATAATAATAATAATATGCCATTTAGCAGACGCTTTTATCCAAAGCGACTTACAGTCATGCGTGCATACATTTTTTGTGTATGGGTGGTCCCGGGGATCGAGCATTACAAGCGCCGTGCTCTACCAGCTGAGCTACAGAGGACCAGCTCCTCAATGCCATTGGATGAATCTCGGAACATATTCCAGTCTGTGCTAGCAAAACAGTCCTGTAGCATAGCATTCGCGTCATCTGACCACTTCCGTATTGAGCAAGTCACTGGTACTTCCTGCTTTAGTTTTTGCTTGTAAACAGGAATCAGGAGGATAGAATTATGGTCAGATTTGCCAAATGGAGGGCGAGGGAGAGCTTTGTATGCGTCTCTGTGTGTGGAGAAAAGGTAGTGTAGAGTTTTTTTTCCTCTGGTTGCACATGTGACATGCTGATAGAAATGAGGTAAAACGGATTTAAGTTTGCCTTCCTTTAAAGTCCACGGCCAATAGGAGCGCCGCTTCTGGATGAGCATTTTCTTGTTTGCTTATGGCCTTATACAGCTCGTTGAGTGCGGTCTTAGTGCCAGCATCGGTTTGTGGTGGTGAATAGATTGCTACGAATAATATAGATGAGAACTCTCTTGGTAGATAGTGTGGTCAAGCAGACCACCATAGTCCCTGTGCCCAAGGAAGTGAAGGTAACCTGCCTAAATGATTACCGCCCCATAGCACTCACGTCGGTAGACATGAAGTGATTTGAAAGGCTGGTCATGGCTCACATCAACACCATTATCCCAGAAACACTAGACCCACTCCAATTCGCATACCGCCCCAACAGATCCACAGATGACACAATCTCAATCGCACTCCACACTGCCCTTTCCCACCTGGACAAAAGGAACATCTATGTGAGAAAGCTGTTCATTGACTACAGCTCAGCGTTCAACACCATAGTGCCCACAAAGCTCATCACTAAGCTAACGACCCTGGGACTAAACACCTCCCTCTGCAACTGGATCCTGGACTTCCTGACAGGCCGCCCCCAGGTGGTAAGGGTAGGCAACAACACATCTGCCATGCTGATCCTCAACAGTGGGGCCCCTCATGGGTGCGTGCTTAGTTCCCTCCAGTATTCCCTGTTCACCCACGACTGTGTGGCCAAGCACGATTTCAACACCATCATTAAGTTTGCTGGCCTGATCACTGACAACGATGAGACAACCTATAGGGAGGAGGTCAGAGACCTGGCAGTGTGGTGCCAGGACAACAACCTCTCCCTCAATGTGAGTAAGACAAAGGAGCTGATCGTGGACTAAAGGAAAAGGCGGGCCGAACAGGCCCCCATTAACATCGACGGGACTGTAGTGGAGCTGGTCGAGAGTTTCAAGTTCCTTGGTGTCCACATCACCTTCATCAACTATCATGGTCCAAACACACCAACACAGTCGTGAAGAGGGCACGACAACACCTTTTCCCCCTCAGGAGACTGAAAATATTTGGCATGGGTCCCCAGATCCTCAAAAACTTCTACAGCTGCACCATCGAGAGCATCCTGACCGGTTGCATCACCGCCTGGTATGGCAACTGCTCAGCATCTGACCGTAAGGCGCTACAGCGGGTAGTGCGTACGGCCCAGTACATCACTGGGGCCAAGCTTCCTGCCATCCAGGACCTACAGTGGCTTGCGAAAGTATTCACCCCCCTTGGCATATTTCCTATTTTGTTGCCTTAAAACCTGGTATTAAAATGGATTTTTGGGGGGGGTTGTATCATTCGATTTACACAACATGCCTACCACTTTGAAGATGCAAAATATTTTTTGGGGTGAAACAAACAAGAAATAAGACAAAAAAACAGAAAACTTGAGCGTGCATTACTATTCACACCCCCCCCCCCCCCCGTATGATGCTGCCACCACTATGCTTCACTGTGGAGATGGTGTTCTCAGGGTGATGAGAGGTGTTGGGTTTGCGCCAGACATAGCGTTTTCCTTGATGGCCAAAAAGCTCAATTTTAGTCTCATCTGACCAGAGTACCTTCTTCCATATGTTTGGGGAGTCTTCCACATGCCTTTTGGCGAATACCAAACGTGTTTGCTTATTTTTTTCTTTAAGCAATGGCTTTTTTCTGGCCAGTCTTCCATGAAGCCCAGCTCTGTAGAGTGTACAGCTTAAAGTGGTCCTATGGACAGATACTCCAATCTCCGCTGTGGAGCTTTGCAGCTCCTTCAGGGTTATCTTGGGTCTTTTTGTTGCCTCTCTGATTAATGCCCTCCTTGCCTGGTCCGTGAGTTTTGGTGGGTGGCCCTCTCTTGGCAGGTTTGTTGTGGTGTCATATTCTTTAAATTTTTTAATAATGGATTTAATGGTGCTCCGTGTGATGTTCAAAGTTTCAGATATTTTTTTATAACCCAACCCTAATCTGTACTTCTCCACAACTTTGTCCCTGACCTGTTTGGAGAGCTACTTGGTCTTCATGGTGCCGCATGCTTGGTGGTGCCCCTTGCTTAGTGGTTTTGCAGACTCTGGGGCCTTTCAGAACAGGTGTATATATACTGAGATCATGTGACAGATCAATGTGACACTTAGATTGCACACAGGTGGACTTTATTTAACTAATTATGTGACTTTTGAAGGTAATTGGTTGCACCAGATCTTATTTAGGGGCGTCATAGCAAAGGGGGTGAATACATTCGCACGCACCACTTTTCCGTTTTTTAGTTATTTTTTCATTTCACTTCACCAATTTGGACTATTTTGTGTGTGCCCATTACATGAAATCCAAATAAAAATCCATTTAAATTACAGGTTCTAATGCAAGAAAATAGGAAAGTATTTGAATTATTACTGAAACAGGATACAAGTGGAAAATATAAAGATTCAGTCCATTAAAAAAATTGGAGGCCCCTTACACTTCAGTGTTGTGATGCAAAAATTTGAGCAAAATGTATAGCGCATAGAATTAAAAAGGTATTGTCGGACATTATTCATTCTAATCAGACAGGTTTTTTACATTGACGATACATTGGAGATAATATAAGGCAAGTACTGCAAACAATAGAACACTTTGAAAAATCTGGGAAACCAGGCCTGCTCTACATAGCAGACTTTGAAAAGGCATTTGATAAAGTACGACTGGGGGTTTATATATAAATGCCTGTAGCATTTCAATTTTGGAGAATCTCTTATAAAATGGGTTAAAATCATGTATAGTAACCCTAGGTGTAAAATAGTAAATAATGGCTATTTCTCCGAAAGTTTTAAACTGTCAAGAGGAGTGAAACAAGGTTGTCCACTATCGGCATATCTATTTATTATGGCCATCGAAATGTTAGCTATTAAAATATGATCCAACAATAATATCAAGGGATTAGAAATCCAGGGCTTAAAAACAAATGTGTCATTGTACGCTGATGATTTATGTTTTCTTTTAAATCAACAACTTGAATCCCTCCACAGCCTCATAGAGGATCTAGATACATTTTCTAACCTCTCTGGATTACAACCAAATTATGATAAATGTACTATATTACGTATTGGATCACTAAAAAATACTATTTTTACATTACCATGTAGTTTACCAATAAAATGGTCTGATGGTGATGTGGATATACTCAGAATACATTTCCCAAATGATATAAATGATCTCACTCCAATAACATTTAATAGAAAGTTAGCAAAAATAGATAAGATCTTGCTACCATGGAAAGGTCAATTTGTGGAAAAATCACCCTGATTAACTCTTTAGTATTATCCCAGTTTACCTATTGCTTATGGTTTTGCCTACACCTAGTGTATTCCATTTTATTTGGAACGGCAAGCCAGACAAAATTAAACGGGCCTATTTATATAATGAATATGAATTCGGAGGACAGAATTTATTAAATATTAAAGCATTAGACCTATCACTAAAAGCTTCAGTCATACAACAGTTAATTCCGAACTGGTTCTCTAGCAAATTAGTAAGATTGTCTCACCCAATGTTCAAGAATGGCCTTTTCCCCTTTATTCAGATTACAACCTCTCACTTTCAGTTATTTGAAAAGGAAATAATCTCCCAAATATCACTATTTCTAAAACAAGCAATAGAAAGTTGGTTGCAATTTCAATTTAATCCTCCAGAAACTATAGAACAAATAATGCAACAAATATTGTGGTTAAACTCAAATATACTAATTGATGAAAAAAACATTATTTTTTGAATAAAAAAAAAAAAAAGGTATAATCCTCGTAAATGTTATCATCGGTAGGGCTGGTGGAGTTATGTCGCACATGAAGCTAACAAAAACATATGGAAATGTCTGCTCTACCCAAAATTACAACCAAATAAATGCAGCGTTACCGCAAAAATGGAAGAGGAAAGTGGAAGGGGGAAAAAGTAAGGAACTTGTTTGTCGGCCCTGCATTAAAGAACATAATTGGTTAAAGAAAATTGTGATAAATAAAACTGTATACCAGTTTCATTTAAGGACCAAAGGATAGATTGCAAAATAGTTGGGAAGAGATTTTTGACGTACCGATTCCATGGCATAGTGTTTATGAACTGATATGCAAAACGACGCCGGATTCAAAACTTAAAATTGTTCAATTTAAATTATTATACAATGTTCTTGCTACTAATATAATGTTATTTATATGGGGAATACAATCTTCCCAGCTCTGCAGATTTTGCTGCGAAGAGACAGAATCATTAGGATCATTTGTTTTGGTACTGTCCATTTGTAGCTTGTTTTTGGACACAGGTCCAGGAATGGCTGAAGGATTGCAATATTTACCTGGAGCTAACCCTGCAGATAGCACTACTGGGTGATCTGAAAAGTCATAGTCAATCGATCAATAATATAATAATTATTTTAGCAACAGAAACAATGAGAGTAGAAGGGTTCAGACGTTTTGTAAAACATCACAGTACAGTTGAAAAATATATGGCAAATAGAAATCCAATATGGATGGTGTTAAGAGATAGATGGGAGGTGTTGAATGGAGCTGAAGGATGGGACTAATAACAACTAACAACAACTAATAACAACAAGAGAACTAATGTAAAGCATACTGTGTCCATAATAAGTATACAGGTTATAGGTTGAGAGATTTTGTGAAAGAGCAGAGTTAGAAATATATGGCATATAGAAGCAAACCGGATGGACATCATGAAAATGATCGGAGAGGTTGAGGGTAGAGGAAGTTGTAAAGAATTATTGTAAAATTGACTGTGTCCATCAAATGGTATATAGTACATTTATAAGCTGGAAGTTAGAGACCTAAGCAGTGTGTGCACTAGTTTATCGCCAATTAGGGCAAGGGGGTGGTGGGGTTGGAAAAGTAATAAAGGGAAAATATATTTTTTAAAACTATATTTATATACAGTGGGGGAGAACAAGTTATGTGATACACTTGCCAATTTTTGCCATGTTTTCCTACTTGACAAAAGCATATAGGCCATAGGTACACTTCAACTGTGATAGACAGAATCTAAACACAAAAAAACCAGAAAATCACATTGTATGATTTTTAGTAATTAATTAGCATTTTTATTAGCATGACATAAGTATTTGATCACCTACCACCAGCAGAACTTCCAGTCTCTCACAGAACCTGTTCGGTTTTTGCTTTAAGAAGCCCTCCTGTTTCTCCCACTCATTACCTGTATTAACTGCACCATGTTTGAACTTGTTACCATGTATAAAAGACACCTGTCCACACATCAATCAAACAGACTTCCAACCCTCTCCACAAGGGCCACGACCGAGAGATCTGTGAAGGACATCAGGGATAACAATTGTAGACCGCACAAGGCTGGATCTCACCTCGTGGGGCATCAATGATCATGAGGAAGGTGAGGGATCAGCCCAGAACTACACGGCAGGACCTGGTCAATGACCTGAAGAGAGCTGGGACCACAGTCTCAAAGAAAACCATTAGTAACACACCACGCCGTCATGGATTAAAATCATGCAGCGAATTCAAGGACCCCCTGCTCAAGCCAGCGCATGTCCAGGCCCGTCTGAAGTTTGCCAATGACCATCTGGATGATCCAGAGGAGCAATGGGAGAAGGTCATGTGGTCTGATGAGACAAAAATTGAGCTTTTTGGTCTAAACTCCACTCGCCGTGTTTGGAGGAAGAAGAAGGATGAGTACAACCCCTAGAACACCATCCCAACCATGAAGCATGGAGGTGGAAACATTATTCTTTGGGGATGCTTTTCTGCAAAGTGGACAGGACGACTGCGCCGTATTGAGGGGAGGATGGATGGGGCCATGTATCGCGAGATCTTGGCCAACAACCTCCTTCCCTCAGTAAGAGCATTGAAGATGGGTCGTGGCTGGGTCTTCCAGCATGACAACGACCCGAAACACACAGCCAGGGAAACTAAGGAGTGGCTCCGTAAGAAGCATCTTAAGGTCCTGGAGTGGCCTAGCCAGTCTGCAGACCTGAACCCAATAGAAAATCTTTGGAGGGAGCTGAAAGTCCGTATTGCCCAGCGACAGCCCAGAAACCTGAAGGATCTGGAGAAGGTTTGTATGGAGGAGTGTGCCAAAATCCCTGCTGCAGTGTGTGCAAACCTTATCAAGACCTACAGGAAACGTATGATCTCTGTAATTGCAAACAAAGGTTTCTGTACCAAATATTAAGTTCTGCTTTTCTGATGTATCAAATACTTATGTCATGCAATAAAATGCAAATTCATTACTTAAAAATCATACAATGTGATTTTCTGGATTTTTGTTTTAGATTCCGTCTCTCACAGTTGAAGTGTACCTATGATAAAAGTTACAGACCTCTACATGCTTTGTAAGTAGGAAAACCTGTAAAATTGGCAGTGTATCAAATACTTGTTCTCCCCACTGTATATATATATATATATATATATATATATATATATGCGAGAGAAAAAAAACATATGGGGGATTGGAAGTGATGCAGACAATTACATTGATGGAAGTTACAATCTATCTGCAATATTAAACCTAAAAAATGTTTGGGGGGAAAAATGCCAAGGGGGATGAATACTTTTGCAAGGCACTGTATATACTAGGCGGTGTCAGAGGAAAGCCCAAAAAATTGTCAAAGACTACAGTCACCCACGTCATAGAGTGTTCTCTCTGCTACCGCACAGCAAGCGGTACCAGAGCGCCAAGTCTAGGACCAAAAGGCTCCTTAACAGCTTCTACCCCCAAGCCATTAGACTGCTGAACAATTAATCAAATGGCCATCCGGACTATTTAAATTGACCCCCCCACCTCCATTTGTTTTTACACTGCTGCTACCCGCTGTCTATTATCTATGTATAGTCACTTTACCCCTACCTACATGTACAAATTACCTAGACTAACCTGTACTCCCGCACATTGACTCGGTACCGGTACCTCCTGTGTATAGCCTCGTTATTGTTATTTTATTGTGTTACTTTTTATTATTTTTTACTTTAGTTTATTTGGTAAATATTTTTTTAACTCTTTCTTGAACTGCATTGTTGGTTAAGGGCTTGTATGTAGGCATTTCACGGTAAGGTCTACTCCTGTTTGTATTCGGCGAATGTGACAAATAAAGTTTGATTTGATATCCATAAAGCGTCTCAGAGTAGAAGTGCTGATCTAGGATCAGTTTTGCTTTTTAGATCGTAATTAATCAGATTACATGGACAGGTGTGACCTGATCCTAGATCAGTTATAAGTTACCTGTTGGGAAGCTGTCTTCAGACGTTGACATGGTTCCCTTTACGCTGCCGGCTTCTCTGGAGATTGACCTCTCTGTAATATACAGGTGCATTGGTTATGAATAGAGAGACACAACATATTATAAGCCTTGTCATAAGACATTTTAATGGCTCATACATGCTTATAACAAGTTATAACTCATTGTAACGGGATGCTTTAAGTAAAGTGGTAACAACATATTACCAACAATTGAAGACAGAATTTCTACTATTTTGATAGATATTAAAAATTATAAACTGGGTGGTTCGAGCCCTGAATACTGATTGGCTGACAGCCATGGTATATTAGACCTTATATCACGGGTATGACAAAACATGTATTTTTACTGCTCTAATTACCTTGGTAACCAGTTTATAATAGCAATAAGGCACCTCGGGGGTTTGTGGTATATGGCCAATATATCACGGCTAAGGGCTGTATCCAGGCACTCTGCGTTGTCGTGCATAAGAACAGCCCTTAAACGCCATACACCACACCCCCTCGTGCCTTATTGCTTAATTAGAATGCAAGATTGTGAAAAATAGGTAACAAATCAATCTTTCTAGAACTTTGTAGTACTTCATTGGTCATTTTGTTGAGTCAGAGGGTGACATGTGGTTTATTATGACAAGTGCAGTAATCCCTAGTCCTCTACCCATGTTCCTGTGTGTGCTATCGCTTTTGCACACACACATACACACACACACACACACACACACACACACAGAGCGAGAGAGAAAGAGAGAGAGCGAGAGAGAGAGAACAGGAGGCATCTGCCAAGCTCTGATTTCATAGTGTCCCCATCTAAACAGGAAGAATAGAGAGGTAGGGGCAGGGGTACAAAACAGACCACCATAGACCTTTAACAATTATCAAGTTGTCAAATAAATTCAATCAAACTGAGCTATTATGACTATTCATAGTACTAGACATTCAATCAACAAAATATTAGCAAGGTCAAATTAGTTTTATATTGGATATTTGGTGGATATTCGTTTTTCTCTCATCAATAGTTATTGGACCAAGCATGCCATGACTATGAATATGGTATATTCTGAATCAGGGGAGGATGGACAGAAATTCACAACTTTTTTTGTTTGGTAAAATTGAGATGTTTTGTTGTTGTTGCTTTCAATCTTCAATAGATCTTAGACAAAGCGTGCCATGACTATGAACATGATATATTCAGAATCGGGGGAGGATGGGGAAAAATCCACTAATAATTTTCATAGTCATGGCACGGTTTGTGTATGAACATTTTGAAGATTAAAACAATTGAAGATTGAAAGCTAAAATATATATATATTTCAAGAAACAAAAAAAGTTGAGAATTTCTGTCTACCTCCCCTGATTCAGAATATATCATTATCATAGTCATGGCACGCTTTATGTAAGAGCTATTGAAGATTGAAATCAGACATTTTTTGTATGTATTTTCAAGTATGGATTATTCTCCATCTAACCCTGATTCAGAATATGCCATCTTCATAGTTATGGCATGCTTGGTTCAATAGCTATTTAGGAGAGAAAACCGAATATCCACCGAATATCCAATATAAAACAAATTTTACCTTGGTCAAAATATTCCTAAAGATTATCATTACCTAGGGGTGTGTATTTGAGAGAAAATTATAATCTAATGATTATATAGGCCTTGTCCTGTAATATATCCCCAAATATACCTAATTAACAACAATATCACTACTACTGCAGAGGGTTGTACATCTGAGTGTACTTTTTTTACTTGTATCACTGACTCACCCATTCTTCTACTTCGGGTGATAGTCCCAATTTTTACCGGATCATGGTGATGATGGTTGTGGTCATCTGCTGAGAGCTCTCTCTGGTAACGACGACTGTTAGTGTCAACTCCGTTACCCACCGCCACTGGGTCCGGTTCTACCTCCTGTTCGGCATTTGACATCTTCAATCAAATAATTTCCCACTTCTCCATGTAGTAGCTCTACCGAAAACTCGACAGTGGATCACGCGCCACCGCGCCCTAGTTGCGCCTCACGCGCACTATCCACGGAGAACACATGGGGTAGGGGGCAGGGGCTCATAAACTTTTGCTATCGCGGTCGAAGAGTTCATGAAACGTTTGGGAAAAAAACACACTTGGAGATGCATTGTCATAGAATAATAGCAATATGGTGTTGTCAACTTGTTACTTACCGTATTCTAAAATCATATCTTTAGAGAAAATCGCTGTTTTGCTTACAGACTTCCCAACTCCATCAGAATTGTCATGTCCTTCCCTGTGACGTTTGGCTCATGAGACACTCTAGTTCATTGTGTCACAGGTGCGGATAAAGTGCAACTGATTGCACCGAACAGGTTAATAATCGCTGAACAAATAAAGTGTATTTATTTTCCAAAATCCACCGCGCTGACTGTTCTGTCAACAGAAAAAGGAGTTCCCAGTTATACATATAGGCCATACTGTGGGAAAGATTGAACTGTTTTCTCAATCCTCAGATTCATTTTTCCAGAAGTTTGAGTGTTGGGTGTTTTATATAAAACATTTCCACCTCTCTGACTGTATAGTGCCATTCATAATTCCTTGGTATCTCAGCTATTTCACATTGAGAAACTGATACTGCAGTAAAGTAGTCAGATGCACACGCACACACACACACACGAGAAAATGTGTCAATCAAAATGTATAACGCTTTATCCAAATCTAAGAATGTTTAACACTTGCATAGACCTATTGATACATTTTATAATTCAAATTCCTATATAGCCTATAGGCCTAGCCATTGCATCATTTAAACATTTCCACAGTGTCTCCTGCATGCACTAATGTCTCCTTTGCCAAAACTAAACTCTGTCAAATCTTAGGAAGAGTCAGCGTTTCCCTTTCCTCTTCTATATCAGCCTGGAGTGAACACTTAAGTATAGTCTGCAGTAGGCTTACACTAGAGCGCGAGAGGGTGTCCAACTGAATGAAAATAATGACCCAATATTGCTATTAGTATCTGTAGTATTAAATGTGGTTTCAAGCACTTTTCGCACTACAAATAATTTTGTGACCTATGAAATGCGGACAAAAAGCAAACATAAAAGCACACAATAATAGCCCATAACACAATAAAAAAAGATGTAATCAATGCAACACAATATAAAATGGTTAACAGTACATAAAAAAAAAAAAAAATGAAAAAAATACGTTTGTAATAAGCATGTTTCCTTTCTGAAAAAGTCGTATGTTTAGTTCTGCTGTTTACCAGGAAATAATGACCTACTGTAAAAATATAGAACACATGATAGATATCAATTATGACATCAGGGTTCCATCATAATTTAGTTCTATGATGTATCCGAATTTTCACATCATTTCCCTGGGAAACAGAACCAAACATTACATTGGAATGCACTTTTCACCAAAGATATGCAAATAATTTCATAACTCAAACATTACTTTCAATGAGCAGAGGTGTGTGAGTTTCAATGACATCCAAACTTTTTCAATCCACCATCCTTCACCAAGAAATGGATCTACGAAATTGTAAGACTACAAACTTTTCAATTATTAAAATATTGTGAATTTATTTCCATAAAAGGTTTATTATAAATAAGGTTTATTTGTTTGAATGTGGCTTTTTCTCTGTAATTTACAAATCAGTCAGCATACATTTCCAAGTACTGGCTTGATGACCCAAATGGCACCCTATTCCCTATGCAGTGCACAACTTTTGACCAGGGGTCTGTTCAAAAGTAGTGCACTATGTAGGGAATAGGGTGCCATTTCTCTTGCCACAAGTAGTGCACTATGTAGGGAATAGGGTGCAGTTTCTCTAGTCAAAAGTAGTGCACTATGTAGGGAATAGGCGGCTGCTTTGGACATACCCTTTACTTCTGCCTGTCTTCCCTCCAGTGTATTTTGATGAGGTATTTAGTATTCAGGATCATGACCAGCGGACTGGCAGGGCCAAATGGAGCTACTCCATACCCGACGACCCTGAGGCAAACCTGGGAGGCACCTCCAGAGTCCCCGACCACCTCCAGGCTGGCTTCCTCTACCGTGTCTCCGTCCACCAGGACCTGACTGAGGGACCAGACGACCAGGGCTTCCAGGGCTACCAATGTGGCCTGTGTCGGTTGCCCCTCCCCAGCCTTGCTTCCCTCCAGGCCCACCTCTTGGTCAGCTGGACCCACAGCACAGGCTGTAACCGCCTCTACAGTGACATGATCAGGCTGTGTCCGTCTCCTCCTCCTCCATTGGTGTATGTATCTGAGGAGCCATCGCCATCTTCCCCCATCCAGGTCCACAATAACCAGCAGGACCAGGAGGCTGATAGGGCCCGTCGTCTCTACGCCGTTATCAATGACCTTGAGGTGAAACTGGGATCGCGGCGAGGCAGATGCACTGACCACCTCCAGGCAGACTTCGTCCGCTATGTCTCCAGCCAGGTCTGTGTGTTGTCTGTCTGTGTGTGTGTGTGTGTGTGTGTGTGTGTGTAGAGGAAGGGGTAGAATTGAGCAGAAGACACATTTCTGTTGTTCACTGTAACATATGGACAATAAAGTTGTATTTTATTGTAGGCCTCCAATAATGGTCCAGGCTACCACCGGGGCTACCAGGGCTCTGAGGGCTACCAGTGTGCCCTGTGTCAGCTGCCCTTCCCCAGCCTGGCCTACCTCCAGGCCCACCTTCTAGACAGCTGGGAAGCTAGGCAGTCCTGTAGCCTCCTCTACAGCCAGATGATCAGGCGTTGTCCCTCTCCTCCTCCTCCTCCTATGGTGGTGAAACCAGTTCTGCGCACCACTGGCTCCTCCTGCTCATCCTCTGTTTCAGTCACAAAGAGACCTCCAAGACGCCATGCAGAGCACCTTTATCCATATCTGCCTTCCACTTCATCATCCTCAGTCTCAGCCACTGTGGTATCTTCATCATCCAGACGCCATGAGCATGTACTGTCTCCAGACCTGCCTTCCTCCTCCTCCACCTGCTCCTCTTCAGCCATACCCTCCAGAAAGAGAAGGAGAGACAACGACGTGAGCTCCAGAGGGGCCCCCAGGAGCCCCAGCCAACAGCCCAGCTTTAGCACTCTGTCTCGGCGAGACAAGAGCCACCAGGCTGGCCCCTCCTTGATGAGACCCATGGACAACCTCCAGAGCTACCTCCCTCAGCCCTACTGTCCCCAGCCCAGCCACAGCACTCTGTCTTGGGGGGAGGAGAGCCATCAGGCAAGCCCCAGCAAGAGACACAGAGAGCTGGAAGCCACCCCACAGGGATACCCTGGACCCAACTGCACGGCACGCATGCGAACGACTTGCAAGACAAAGTCAAAGTGCAAGATGCTACAGAGGAAAGCCCTTGTGTAAAAGGGTTTTTCGGTTGTCCCCATAGGAGAACCCTTTGAAGAACCCTTTTTGGTTCCAGGTAGAACCCTTTAGGTTCCAGGAACCAAAAAGGGTTCTCCTATGGGGACAACCGAAGAACCCTTTTGAACCCTTTTTTCTAAGAGTGTAGGTAAACACTATATGAAATATGACTGTAAAATAAAGTGTTACCACACAGCCTATTTATGTGAATCCTATTTTAATAAATCTTCATAAATGAATTTGCTCTGCATTTGATGTTTTTTTAATTTTTTATTAAACATCATACATTTTTTGTGTTTTGTTTTGTTTGACCAAATAAATGAGTTGTATTTCCATTTGTCATAATCAGATATGAAACAGAATTTACCATACGTTCAAAATACTTTTTGCACATCTAATTTGGTGCCCAATACTGTACCTCAAATAATAGCCTTGAAAACATTATTAACTATCACTAACGTCGAACTACAAATACACTTTAAGAAATAAAGTTCAAGATATCAAGTAGCTACCTACTACAATAATACCCTTGACAATACACTTTGTTTATAATTCCTGTCACACACAGACACACACGGTGTGACTGACTGAGTGTGTGAATGCGAGCGTGTGTGACAGAGCCACAGTCAATCACACTGTGTCACGTGTTGTTTTGCTTTCTGACCTAGACACATTTAGCCAGGAAATCACCTGGTAATACTATTTGATGGATGGAGGGATAGACAGCGGGAGGGAGGGAGGGAGGGAGGGAGGGGAAGGGAGGAATGAAGGAGAGGAGAGCAAGTGGACCCAGTCCTGTCATTCACATTACTGCAGGAGGAAGAGTGAAGCAATTTTTTTGCCAACCAGCTAAAGGTAAGGACAACGTAGATACATTTTCTGTCTGTAATATTTGCATCAAATAGAGAGTGGAAGTTACTTTTCCTTGCAGGTTGGTTGATTACCTATACCTTGACTGTGTATGTGTGTATGTCCCTAAAGTAGGTTACAGTAAAAAAAGAAAATATATATTGTAACATACACCGGATAGGTGCTGTGAAATGTGTTGTTTTACAGGGTCAGCCATACTAGTACAGCACCCCTGGAGCAAATTAGGGTTAAGTGCTTTGCTCAAGGGCACGCCAGATTTTTCACTTTGTCGGCTCAGGTATTCAAACCAGCGACCTTTCAGTTACTGACCCAATGCTTTAACCACTAGGCTACCTATTTTCACAGTGTGTTGGGTATGCTTTGCAAAGAAATCATAATTTCTGTGACCGTGACACCTGCCAATATCCGTTTCTGAAAATGTAGCTATCAACACATACACACTCATCTGTGTATTCATTTTATTCAGGATGTCTAAGACCCCGTCCACCACGTCTGCAACTTCTGTAACCTCTGCAACGTCTGCAGCCTCTACAGACAGGTAAGATCAACGTCTACATCTGAGACTGGAGAACTTGCCGTAGAGAAAGAGATTGGCCATGATGGGCACAATAGAGTTATTGAGAGACACTGGCACCGTACACACTCAGGTTGTACAAGTGATATTGTTGACTCAATGGTTGTGATACACCTGATGTGTTTGTGATGCCCAAAAATATCTACAAAACCATTAAGCGGTGTCTCCACAATACTTATATGAATATTTTTGTGCAGAAAAACTCTCTGTTGTATCACAACTATTGTGCCAAATGTGCTTTACATCCGTTGTAAAACTTGAATGTGTACGAAGCCATTGAGTGATGATTCTATTTGCACGGATTCGCTCCATGGTTATTACAATACTGTAAGTCAAGTCAAGGTGTCAAGATAGCTCATGTCATTGTCTGTAATATTGTGAACACCTGTTGCCTCTTGGCTCCTGGCCTGTAGCAAAGGTGGTAAATCCCGGAAGACTTCGTCCTCGGGTTCGGAGTCAGCTCCCAAGAAGGTGTCTAAGAAAGAGCAGAAGAGGAAAGACATGGAGAAGATACACACCACCCTGCTCAGCAGCGTGTTTGGAGCGTTACGCGCACGCACACACACACACACATTAAAGCTACTTTAACATCTGACCCCTGACCTATAACTCTTAGTAGCGACATGCTGGGCTAACAACAGTCAGGTGTTTTTTTTTTTGTCAAGGGGACATTGATAATCATGCGAAGGAATGAAAAGTCATAGAAGCTACAACGTTAGCTAAGCTCCTGATCTTTGCATGCTGTGTGTATGAGTGGGTGCCTGCGCATGCGTGCCTGCCTATCTGCTTGCCTACCTGTGTGTGCCTGCGTGTGTGTGTCTGCCTGCCTGCATGCATGTGTGTGGGAGTGTGTGTGTAGGTAATGACCCTCTAAGCTACACACACAGAGAGTAGTTATCCTCTCCAGCTAATCCTATTGACACAGCAGTATTATTAGATCCTTAGTGTGGCTCAGCATCACCATTCATTAGGATTAATGGGTAGAAGCTGCCGAAAGAGCATCGAACACAAAGGGAAAGTTGTACGATTCTTTTAGGAACTTTTTTTGTTTGATATTTGTAAACGTTTAGACCCAGTGACGGGTGTGGTATTGTGTGTCAATTGATGTTCGATGTTTAATGAACAATTTCTGCTTTTCTCACTTTGTTTCTTGACACTGTAAAACTTAGCTTGGGGACATCGATTTAGGATAGAATAATTCAGACTAGAACATAAACTAGATCATATTGAGCATGCAGTGTGTGTAGGCTATGCGGGTAAACACAACACGCTACAAACACGTGTGTGAATGAGGTTGAATGGTGTCCCAAACAAACATGATAGAAACCATTATGATTTAATCCACCTTGATCAGGAAACATCCCCAACTGTACCTGTCCCCAATCCCTCACTAACTTCCTACCACACCAGAACTACCTGACCCTAAAACTTCTCACCAAATCGCCTGTGCTAAACTTCCATCCAAAAGTATCTGTATTTGACTCTTTAAGGTGAACCCTATCCAGAGTATAGTATGTCTAGTTCTAAACGCCATACATGCACTATAATATTACTCAAAAGGCTTCAGTATGGCAGACAGTGTTGTTTCTCTATGGCAGCTCCCTCACTAAAACACACACTACATGGGGCCTCCCGAGTGGCGCAGTGGTCTAAGGCACTGCATCGCAGTGCTTGAGGCTTCACTACAGACCCGGGATTCGATCCCAGGCTGTGTCACAACCGGCCGTGACCAGGAGTCCCATAGGGCGGCGCACAATTGGCCCAGCGTCGTCCGGGTAAAGGAGGGTTTGGCCGGGGTGGCTTTACTTGGCTCATCGCGCTCTAGCGACTCTTTGTGGCGGAATCTGCAGACTTCGGTCGTCAGTTGAACAGTGTTTCCTCCGACACATTGGTGCAGCTGGCTTGGAGTGACGTTTGGCGGGTCATGTTTCGGAGGACGTATGATACGACCATCGCCTCTCCCGAGCCCATTGGGGAGTTGCAGCGATGAGACAAGATCATAATTTAAATTGGGAGAAAAAGGGGGTAAAATACAAAACACGACATGGCCGAAAGTATGTGGACACCTGCTCGTCGAACATATAATTCCAAAATCAAGGGCATTAGTATGGAGTTGGTCCCCCCTTTGCTGCTATAACAGCCTCCACTCTTCTGGGAAGGCTTTCCACTAGATGTTGGAACATTGCTGCGGGGACTTGCTTCCATTCAGCCACAAGAGCATTAGTGAGGTCGGGCACTGATGTTTGGCGATTAGGCCTGGCTCGCAAAGGTGTTCGATGGGGTTGAGGTCAGGGCTCTGTGCAGGCCAGTCAAGTTCTTCCAATCCGATCTCGACAAACCTTTTCTGTATGGACCTCACTTTGTGCACGGGGGCGTTGTCATGCTGAAACAGGAAAGGGCCTTCCCCAAACTGTTCCCACAAAGTTGGAAGCACAGAATCATCTAGAATGTAATTGTATGCTGTAGCGTTAAGATTTCCCTTCACTGGAAATAAGGGGCCTAGCCTGAACCATGAAAAACAGCCCCAGACCATTATTCCTCCTCCACTAAACTTTATACACCTCACTCTGCAACTGGATCCTGGACTTCCTGACGGGCCGCCCCCAGGTGGTAAGGGTAGGTAACAACACATCTGCCACACTGATCCTCAACACGGGGGCCCCTCAGGGGTGCGTGTTCAGTCCCCTCCTGTACTCCCTGTTCACCCATGACTGCATGGCCAGGCACGACTCCAACACCATCATTAAGTTTGCAGACGACACAGGCCTGATCACTGACAACGATGAGACAGCCTATAGGGAGGAGGTCAGAGACCTGGCCGTGTGGTGCCAGGATAACAACCTCTCCCTCAACGTGACATTGACAAAGGAGATGATTGTGGACTACAGGAAAAAAAAGAGGACTGAGCATGCCCCCATTCTCATCGACGGGGCTGTAGTGGAACGGGTTGAGAGCTTCAAGTTCCTTGGTGTTCACATCACTAATTAACTATCATGGTCCAAACACACCAAGACAGTCGTAAAGAGGGCACGACAAAGCCTATTCCCCCTCAGGAGACTGAAAAGATTTGGCATGGGTCCTCAGATCCTCAAAAAATTATACAGCTGCACCATCGAGAGCATCCTGACTGGTTGCATCACCGCTTGGTATGGCAACTGCTCGGCCTCCGACCGCAAGGCACTACAGAGGGTAGTGCGTACGGCCCAGTATATCACTGGGGCCAAGCTTCCTGCCATCCAGGACCTCTATACCAGGCGGTGTCAGAGGAAGGCCCTCAAAATTGTCAAAGACTCCAGCCACCCTAGTCATAGACTGTTCTCTCTGCTACCGCACGGCAAGCGGTACCGGAGTGCCAAGTCTAGGTCAAAAATACTTCTCAACAGCTTCTACCCCCAAGCCATAAGACACCTGAACAGCTAATCATGGCTACCCAGACTATTTGCACTGCCCCCCCACCCCCACCCCATATTTTTACGCTGCTGCTACTCTGTTAATTATTTATGCATAGTCACTTTAACTCTACCCACATGTACATATTACCTCAACTACCTCAACTAGCCGGTGCCCCTGCACATTGACTCTGCACCGGTACCCCCCTGTATATATAGCCTCCCTACTGTTATTTTATTTGACTTCTGCTCTTTTTTTCTCAACACTTTTTTGTTGTTGTTGTTTTATTTTACTTTTTTATAAAAAAATTAATGCATTGTTGGTTAAGGGCTGTAAGTAAGCATTTCACTGTAATGTCTACACCTGTTGTATTCAGCGCACTTGGCCAATAACATTTTGATTTGATTTGATTTGATTTAGTTGGCACTATGCATTCGGGCAGGTAGCGTTCTCCTGGCATCCGCCAAACCCAGATTCGTCCGTCGGACTGCCAGATGGTGAAGCGTGATTCATCACTCCAGAGAACGCGTTTCCACTGCTCCAGAGTCCAATAGCGGCGAGCTTTACACCACTCCAGCCGACGCTTGGCATTGCTCATGGTGATCTTAGGCTTGTGTGCCGCTGCTCGGCCATGGAAACCCATTTCATGAAGCTCCAGACAAACTTGTGCTGACGTTGCTTCCAGAAGCAGTTTGGAACTCGGTAGTGAGTGTTGCAACCGAGGATAGATTATGTTTACTCACTACGCGCTTCAGCACTCGGCGGTCCCGTGCTGTGAGCTTGTGTGGCCTACCACTTTGCGGCTGAGCCGTTGTTGCTCCTAGATGTTTCCACTTCACAATAACAGCACTTACAGTTGACCGGGGCAGCTCTAGCAGGGCAGAAATTTGACGAACTGATTTGTTGGAAAGGTGGTATCCTATGACGCTGCCACATTGAAAGTCACTGAGCTCTTCAGCCATTCTACTGCCAGTGTTTGTCTATGGAGATTGCATGGCTGTGTGCTCGATTTTATACACCTGTCAGCAACAGGTGTGGCTGAAATATCCGAATCCACAAATTTGAAGGGGTGTCCACATACCTTTGTTTATATAGTGTATCTCTCCTTTGCTTGTTGTCTTCCTTTAGGAGAGGGAGTTGGCCCAAGCAGAGTTGGATGGTGAGTCTTCTTATCACAGTGATATTGCATATACAATAGAATGCTTTTACTTACAGTTGATTGACTAGTTGCACAACTTATTACACTGAACCCGTGTTACTCAAGTTAAGATTCTAACAGGCGCTATATTTGTGAAGGGGGGTAGCTTTGAATCATCCATAGAAATAGTATGACTAGATCGGGCAAAAAGCCCCTCAGACCACGGCAATTTGACAGTACATTCATGGGCACACTCAATATGGCAGCCGGTCCACCCATCACGGAACGTTGACTTGAATGGGAATGTCCTTTCTGGTAATTCTATTTCTATGGTGTCATCATCAACTTCTGACCTGTAACCTTTAACCTTTGGCACAGAGCTGGACTTTGCCTTCAAGGAGTTTGACTACGACTGTGACGGCTACCTGAACTACAAGGACGTAGCTGAGTGCATGAGGACCATGGGCTACATGCCCACTGAGATGGAGCTGCTGGAGATAGTGCAACAGATCAAGATGAGGAGTATGTTAAGTTTAAGTTATTTTCATCTAATGTGCTTATTGTCCAGTCCCTACCTGTGTCCTGACTGTTGATTGGCTGTCTCCCTTCAGTGGGCGGTCTGATGGACTTTGATGACTTCTGTGAGCTGATGGGTCCCAGGATAATGGGAGAGACAGCTGATATGCTGGGGCTGAAAGAGCTCAGGTCCGCCTTCTCACAGGTAAGAGACTGACACAGAGCCAAAGAGACTGAGATTGAGTGAATGTTCATAAAACACAGGCCTACAAACACAGATATTATGGCCCTACTCAAACTCTCATTAATATCTCCCAGCCTCTTCATTATTGCATGATTTACATGACCTACTCTTCCTCAAGTTGGGATTCAGCCCTCAGCCAATATTAACTCACATGTTCACTTAATCACCCACATTCTCTCCTCCTCAACATCCCTCCATCATATCTTCTCCCTCTCCTCCTCTCAGTTTGACCAGGACTGTGATGGGAAGATCAGCCAGGATGAGATGAAGGAGGCGGTGAAGAGTCTACTGGGGGAGAAACTGAAGAAAGGAGAGCTGGAAGAGATACTCAAAGAGATAGACATCAACGGAGACGGAAGCGTCGACTTTGATGGTGAGGAGATAACGGTGCATAGACACATACACACACATACACACACACGTAAGGTCACACACACGGAGGAAACACTCACAAACATGCAGAAACACGTCAGGACACACACACATACACAGAAGTAAGATCACACACATGCATACATACACACACACACACACAGTCACACACACACATTTTGTAGCCTTTCTCATTTCCCTCTCTTGCCTTCCAGAGTTCGTCATGATTCTGTCCATTCGGTAAGTGCTGGAAGACCTGAGAAGACGCTATCATTTGTGTGTATGATCAGCTTTAAGGATGAGATGTACTCCTCTCATCTCCTCACTCCTCCTTTTCGCTCCTCTCTTCCTCTCCTCTCCTGTTCTCTCCTTTTCTGTTCTCTCCTCTATACTAGAAAATAAATATGGTGTACAATGGGCAAGAGTATATTCTTAAATGTATTTTAAATGTATTTGGATTATACTGATTCATCAGTTTGTAGACACTGATTGGCTGTATGTAATATGACATGTAAATAAGATACCATTTTTCTATTTTAATAAATAATTAGAATGTCAATCTGAGTTGCTGAGTGACTGAGTTACAACCACAGACTTTTGAAAAACACATTTTTCAGTATAATTTTTTTCAGTAAAATAAAGACATAAATATCTACACAGGTATCAAGCACACTCAATTAACCATAAGCCTGTAAACTTTACTTCTGCAAATAACTTGACGAATTTGAAACTCTCCTTTCATTAACTTTATTCCTAAAACGTTGTAATTAACCAAGGATAAATGTTAAGTTAACAAAATGAAAATAAAACAATAACCCTTAAGCAGAGTAAATATAGCCTGGTCCCAGATCTGTTTGTATTGTTTTGCCAACTCCATTACCAAATGAAGCAATAGAATTGGCAAGACAGCACAAACATATCTGGGACCAGAATAGAGTACTCCCAGCTAGCACATAACGTTCTGAGAACCATATGTTTCTTAGAGCTTGGTGAGAGCGTGGTTGTCCTATGATTATTTTGCATACAACCTTCTCACAACTTTCTGGGAATGGTGCAGGATAGTTGCTTGGATTTGGAACATTCTCAGTACATTTAAGGAACTTGACAAAAACATTATTTTCTTGGTATTTCATTACTTTAACAGAACATTTCCTAAAAGTTCATACATGGCTACATTTAAGTAAAATGTTGGTAATGTTCTAGGAATGTTCTCCAACTGGTTTGACATTGGGAATGTTCTCAAATAGTTCAGAGAATGTTCAGAAACAACGTTCTTCTGTGGGAATTTCAGTACTTCAGCATAACGTTTTCTATAGGTTTCCTCATTGTTCTATATAAAGTAATGTTCTCAGAACGTTCAGAGAAAGTTAAGAAACAACGTTCTTCTGTGGGAATTTCATAAAACTTAAGTAACGTTCAGAGAACGTTCTAATAATATTATTTAAAAACAAACACATTCCATTCTTAGCATCAACTAAACTATCTCTATACTCTATCTTGTTAAGTGTGTTCAGGTTTGTTGGCCGCGGCCACTAATTGGCCATACCTGATCTTAATGAGTGCTTGTTTCCTTTGAAATGGGGTCTGTTTGAATAGACTAAAATGAACAGCTTTGAATTAGTAAAAAACAAACATGGCATGCTAGCTCCATCCTAGTGGCGCAGTAGACTAATTCCATGGATAGAGAACAGAAGATCATTGGTTAAAATCTCACTGAAGCCGTGCAACACAATATATATTTTTCTTCCCATTTATGCTATCTGTGCTTAGAGTTCAAAACAGTTAAACTAAGCTACCAGTGTTATTAAAAGTCTTATTGAAACATTCAGTGAACGTTTTAAGGAAGTTATTCAAAAACCTTAGTTCAAAACTTTCACAACATTTAGAGAATGTTCTCAGAACGTTATTTAATTACCTTCAAATAACCTATAATTTACATTATCAGAACGTTAATAAAACCTCAGAGGAAAACTCTCAGTGAACCATAGTAAAACGTTCTCAGAACCTTCCTGCAACCTAAACATTTACTTTCCCACAACAGGCAAAATGTTCACCTCCGTTCTTAGAATGTTTAAAAAAACATTCAGTTTTACCGGTCAGGAAACGTTTAGCTTCGTTCCCAGAACCAACGGGAAAACAAAAACATACGTTCCCACAACTTCCGAGGAACCAAATGTGCTAGCTGTACTGTAATTATTCTGTTTTCAGTAAAACTCCAACCATACCGTCACTCCAACGGTAAACAGAGAGTATCGTCAGGTAAACACAACTACCGGTTAGCATATATTGTATTTTTAAACTATCTGCACGCAATTCAGCACAATTTCCAACATATCATGCAGTGTATCTAGGGCCAGGAGTTTTTCCCAACCTAGATGACGTGACCAGAAAAAAACTCTGGGCCCTATAGTACAGTAATATCCTAATACTGTAGCTAGGGCCTCCCAAAATGTTCTCGGTCAGGTCACTTGGTCACGCAAAACTCCTGGTCTCTAAGAATAATGTATCTGCAGAAAGTCTTGTTGTCCGACACAAAATCAACGAAGGAAAAATAAATAAATAAAAACCAATGTTTTTAAAACTGAGCTAAGTCACATGAGCGGGAAATAGAAATATGAAACAACAATGTCTTCTTTGCATCATCAATTCACTAGAGGGAATGTCTTCTTAAAGAGATAGTTCAGTGACTTTAACATATTTACTTATTTGTTTCCTTACCTTTAAAGCGGTCTATGGACAAAATAATTTGCCGAACTATCCCTTTAAACTATGTTTTGTAAACCTTCATTACTTCAGATTCAAATGAACAGGCCTTCATACTGTAAGTCTGTGTCTCAATTAACAACAGCCTCTGACAAGTTGAGTTAAATACTTTTTGTGCGTTGTTGATCGATAATGCATCACATAATGTATCACATATATACCTTTTATATCAGATTCCCATGAACAGACCTTGGTAAAGTTAGCCAGGTTATACCAGACTGAATGCAGCACTAACCATTGTTGGTCACCATTCAATCTTGTTTAACCAGGCAATTGGTAAAGGCCTTTAGTCTTTAAACCAACCACAGTCTCTTACAAGTTGAGTTAAATACTTTTTGTGCGCTGTTGATCAATTATGCAGCTAATGCACCACATATACATTTCCATAGCTTGTATAGCCAGAGGAGTAGAAATTATTTATATAGACACTGTAGCCTAATGAAAGCTACTAGCCACAGGTGAGTTTCCAAAAGCCTTTGTAGCTAATGTTGACTGCTATATCTTTCCACAACCCGGACACAAGAGAGACACAGATATAAATATCAATGTTTTCCAGTTAAGGAATGACATTTGTCAAATGAAGCACTTTGTTGTTCAACAAGTGGTGTGAGTATGGTTGTCCAGAGAAACAAAGTACCATATTATTAGCTATGAAGGCTTTGGGAAACCCATCCCATATCAGGGCTAGATATTCAACAGCTTATTATGACAACTCCTCTGTGTGGCAAAGCTTTAAGGTAAGTCAGCACAAGGGTGATATTATTGAGCTTTTGAAAACGCCATGCCATGCTGCTAGCGAATGTTTCACTGTCACTGTGTCACCCCACTCTCAAACACAAAACGACAAGTCCAAGTCACGTCTCTAAACCATCTCCCATTGGTCTCCCATAGCAACCCCAACAAGCGTTCTGGTTTCTCATAGCAACGTCCGCAGCAACGTCCAGCATCCAGCTACACTTAGGTATCCAAAACAAATGTTTGTTTATATATATACTTTTTTTTAAACATTTGTTTTGGATAGACCTACCTAGTTGTTCCTGCCATAACCAGCACTATAGATGCACTGTTGTGCACAGGGTTTATCCAACTACACTTCTTTGGTGAGTTTGTCGGCGAACTCGGCCATGATGTCATGCACCCAGATGTCCCTCTCCTCCTGCGAGGTGTCGACCAGGAAGACAGTCAACTTCCTGTCCCAGGGGTGATGCGCTTCCTGTACGGCCTCCAGCTGGGCCACCAACGGCTTCTTCTCTACGTGGTTCCGGAACACAATGGAAGCCTCCTCTGACCACTGCCTCGGCTTCACTCCTATTGGTGGAGAGAGAATGTCAGTCAATAAAGTTACATTCCTATTGGTGGACAGAGAATATCAGTCACTAAAGTTACACTCTTATTGGTGGAGGGAGAATGGCAGCCAATCACACAGCCTTATACCAAAATAATTAATGTAAAGTATAAATATGTTATGTCAGTCCACCAAAATAACAAATACTGTACATCAGCATTGAATGCTGAAAACGGTTAATATCCTAGCAATAAACACGCGGTATAACAAATAGGCATTTCTACATTCAATGGCCGTGTCCGAAATCTGTGTTGCCTACTACTTACTAAAACTACATAATGTGTACTATTCTTACTACATACTATTTAGAACGTAATGTTTAGCAAAAAGATCAACGTACTACTCATCCATAATGAGAAGGCATCATCTAATGTGCGATTCTCTTCCTCAATAGTGTGCAGCAAATTTTACTAGAGGAAAAGCCGAAATGAGTATTTACATTTTAGGCAAATTAGCAGACGCTCTTATCCAGAGCGACTTACAGGAGCAATTAGTGTTGAGTGCCTTGCTAAAGGGCACATCGACAGATTTTTCACTTAGTCAGCTCGGGGATTAGAACCAGCAACCTTTCGGTTACTGGCACTACAATCTTAACCACTAAGCTACCTGCCGCTCGTATGACATCCTGGCATTTAAAGCACACAGAATGTTCTAAATTTCACATACTATAAAACGTTATATTTTCTTATACCCAAAAAGCCTACTATTTAGAATGGAAGTATGGGCATTCGGACACAACCAATGTCTATCTTTGCCACCAGAGGCCTCACTTCTCCAAGGTTCTGAATTAATGGAATTATCAGTACGTTAAGGAGCTTAAAGGTCCAATGCAGCTTATTTTTTTAAAATATCAATATCAAATAATTTCTGGGTAACAATTAAGTACCTTACTGTGATTGTTTTCAGTTAAAATGGTCAAAAATAAACAAAAATAGCTTCTTAGCATTTCTCAAGCAAGAATTTTGCTAGGATTGTCAGGGAGTGGTCCGAGTGGGGAGGGGAAAACTGAAAACTAGCTGTTATAGGTAGAGAGGTTTGGAACTCTCTTTCTTATTGGTCTATTAACTCATTTACCGCCTGGTGATGTCACCAGGCAGACCAAAATTCCATCTCACAAAAACAGGCTGAAATTTCAGTATTTTAAAACAGCTCTTACAATAAAAGAGCATTATCATGAGTTTCACAATTTCACAGTATTATTCCAACCTCATAGTATGGAAATATATATAAAATACAGGAAAGTCATGTTTTTGACTGCACTGGGCCTTTAAGGCCCATGTGACACACTACTAAGTGAGGGTAGCAATGACAATGACAATAACGAAAACAAAACAGCTAGTTTTCAGTATGAAAAAAATAATGTATGCACTCACTAACTGTAAGTCACTCTGGATAAGAGCATCTGCTAAATGACTAAAATGTAAATGTAGGAACACAGACACATAAAGGAACACAGACACATTTTGAGGGACATAACTATTTTTCGAAAGTGTGCCAATAACAAGAACCACTTTGCTATATTGAGGTGCATAGCAAAATCTAAGGTACAGAATATGGTTGCCGGGAGGGCGATACTTCCTTAGTTACCTGCGAGTTGTGCAGTGATGCCCTGGAATGGCAGCTGTCTGAACTCCTGGATAAGTGGGCGAAGCTGGGTGCCGCTGACCAGCTCGTGTTTACCGTAGTCCAGCTCATAGACAGACACCAGGCCGTTGGTCAACACTCCCTTCACCAGCACACGGTGCCAACTAGGAGGGCACCGAGAGAGGTCAGAGGTTAGAAGTCAATTAGTCAAGTTCATTTAGTTCATTCAAGTTAATCCTTAGCCTGGGAGCCCAAATAAACTAGATGACTAATCAAATGATTGAATGCAGTCAGACTATCCCACTAGAAGCCCTACCCAAATCCCTCATACACACTTGAAATCTACAGTGCCCACACATACTCCCAAGACACATTCCCACCCCCTCCCACCCACTCCTCCCTCTACTCACTTGTTCTCCACCTTAGCAGCGTATATCTGATTCTTCTCCACTTTGAGAGGCTTCTCCTCTGTTGTATTATAGTACAGGATCATCTCTCCCATCAGAACTACCAGCTTGTACATATCTCTCCAGGGTTGCAGTACGAAGTGACCCGGGTGGCAGGCCACGGACACATAGATATCCATGTTGTGACCTAAAGCAGAGGCAAATATTTGGAGAGTTTGGACATTGAGGTTTCAGCATTACGATGCATAAAACAGGACAGGGGAAGGGGGGACAACAGATTAGAGGTTGGAAACAGCTAAGCACAAAACACAAGTACACTTTACTTTTCAGATAAAAAAGAAACATTATGAAGCATGTAAAATATAAATATATGTCTGTGACCTGCAGGAGGGAGGTCCAGCAGCGGGGGTAGCTTAACAGGGGCGGTAGATGAGGGAGGTGGGGGAGTCCCAGGAGGGGTGCTTGTACCCCCTGTTGGCCTGGGTCCCGAACCAGAGTGGGCGCGTCGTAGGTGGGGCTTGGTCCCATTGGAGCTGGGAGTGATTGTGGTTGTGGAGGTGAGGGAGGCAGTGGAGTTACAGGTGGAGGTCTTGGAAGGGCTGTAATAAGATAAGATAGAATATACTTTATTGTCAATTGTCACAGAGACACTAAAATGTGTATTTTTCCTTTATCCAAACCCCACGAGAGAGTAGAGTTGAGCGCAATGACAGGAGATTCCACACTGTGTAGGAATCAGGAATCGTCTCCCAGCCCTACCTGTGGCTGCTTAGGAAGACGTCTCCTTGGTGTTTGAAGAGGTCAGAGGTGGCCATTTGGTGGTTGAGGCTCCTCGCGGGGTCGTGGAAGTTCTTGTCGGTGAACAGGTAGACATGGACTACGCTGCGTTTGGTCTTGTCCAGCTTGGCTATCTGTGGAGGGATAGAGAGAGCGGGTGGAGAGAGAGAGCGAGAGAGAGAGAGAGAGAGAGAGAGAGAGAGAGAGCTAGAGAGAGAGAGAGAGAGAGAGAGAGAGAGAGAGAGAGAGAGAGAGAGAGAGAGAGAGAGAGAGAGAGAGAGAGAGAGATAAAGAGAATTCAGAGGATTTCAACTGTAGCCCTTTGCTGCAGTCAATGACCAAAAGCGCCCTCTTTGGCCTCATGTGTGGAATGTTATTAATATTTTTCATTAAAAAAAACAATGAAAATCTGGTGTTTCTATGTCAAATAGTTTTGTTATATTTCAGTCTTCTGTGATGTACAGTACCAGTAAAAAGTTTGGACACCTACTCATTCAAGGGTTTTTACTTATTTTTTTACTATTTTCTACATTATAGAATAATAGTGAAGACATCAAAACTATGAAAAAACACATATGGAATCATGTAGTAACCAAAAAAGTGTTAAACAAATCAAAATATATTTTATATTTAAGATTCTTCAAATAGCCACCCTTTGCCTTGATGACAGCTTTGCACACTCTTGGCATTCTCTCAACCAGCGTCACGAGGAAGTGACCTGGAATGCATTTCAATTAACAAGTGTGCCTTGTTAAAAGTTAATTTGTGGAATTTCTTTCCTTCTTAATGCGTTTGAGCCAATCAATTGTGTTGTGACAAGGTAGGGAGGGTATACAGAAGATAGCCCTATTTGGTAAAAGACCAAGTCAATATTATGGCAAGAACAGCTCAAATAAGCAAAGAAAAATGACAGTCCATCATTACTTTAAGACATGAAGGTCAGTCAATCTGGAAGATTTCAAGAACTTTGAAAGTTTCTTCAAGTGCAGATGCAAAAACCATCAAGCGTTATGATGAAACTGGCTCTCATGAGGACCGCCACAGGAAAGGAAGACATTTACATCATTTAGCAGACGCTCTTATCCATTCAACTTATGATAGCAAGTGGGACAACCACTTTTTTTCTTCTTTTTTTATGGGGGGGGGGGGGGGGGGGGGGGTAGAAGGATGACTTTATACTATTCCAGGTATTCTTTAAAGAGGTAGGGTTTCAAGTGTCTCCGGAAGGTGGTCAGTGACTCCGCTGTCCTGGCGTCGTGAGGGAGCTTGTTCCACCATTGGGGTGCCAGAGCAGCAAATAGCTTTGACTGGGCTGAGCGGGAACCCAGAGTTACCTCTGCTGCAGAGGATAAGTTAATTAGAGTTAACGGCACCTCAGATTGCAGCCTAAATAAATGCTTCACAGAGTTCAAGTAACAGACACATCTCAACATCAACTGTTCAGAGGAGACTGCGTGAATCAGGCCTTCATGGTCGAATTAATGCAAAGAAACCACTACTAAAGGACACCAATAAAAGAAGAGACCTGCTTGGGCCAAGAAACACGAGCAATGGACATTAGACCGGTGGAAATCTGTCCTTTGGTCTTATGAGTCCAAATTTGAGATGTTTGTTCCAACCGCTGTGTCTTTGTGAGATGCAGAGTAGGTGAACGGGTGATCTCCGCATGTGTGGTTCCCACCGTGAAGCATGGAGGAGGAGGTGTGATGGTGTGGGGGTGCTTTGCTGGTGACACTGTCTGTGATTCATTTAGAATTCAAGGCACACTTAACCAGCATGGCTACCACAGCATTCTGCAGTGATACTCCATCCCATCTGGTTTGCACTTAGTGGGACTATCATTTGTTTTTCAACAGGACAATGACCCAAAACACACCTGCAGGCTGTGTAAGGGCTATTTGACCAAGGAGAGTGATGGAGTGCTGCATCAGATGACCTGGCCTCCACAATCACCCGACTTCAACCCAATTGAGATGGTTTGGGATGAGTGTCACCGCAGAGTGAAGGAAAAGCTGCCAACAAGTGCTCAGCACATGTGGGAACTCCTTCAAGACTGTTGGAAAAGCATTCCTCATGAAGCTGGTTGAGAGAATGCCAAGAGTGTGCAAAGCTGTCATCAAGGCAAATTTGAAGAATCTTAAATATAAAATATATTTTGATTTGTTTAACACTTTTTTGGTTACTACATGATTCCATATGTGTTATTTCATAGTTTTGATGTCTTCACTATTATTCTACAATGTAGAAAATAGTACAAATAAAGAAAAACCATTGAATGAGTATGTGTGTCCAAACATTTGACTATATAAAGTGTAATATTGGGATGCAAACTGATAATTGAATACATTTCAACTCTATATCTGACACGGTACAGGTGACTTCTTTTTAAACCCATAACCATGTGTGTGAGGTGTATACTTTTGTTTCAAAGTAGATTTGTTTAAGACTACCAAGAATCACTCTGTGTGACCCTGATTTAGCCCACTGCAGTAAAAGGTTAACTTTACAAGAAATGATGAAATGGTCACTGGTGGAGTAAAAAAAACAATGACTATATCATGTGTCTAAGTGCAGATTTACAGCATGTGTTTGTGCATGCGTATGTGTGTGTGTGTATGTATGTGTATGTGTGTGCATACACGGGTGTGTGCGTTCATGTACCTTCATACTACAGTCAGTAGAGTTGAGCACGGCGTCTCGGAGCCACTGAACAGCGTCTGGGGTCCAAGAGCCCACTCCACTAACAGCCAGGTCAGCCAGACAACACTTCACTGCCTATAGAGAGACTACTGCACATCAGACTACATTACCCAGACAACCCTTCTTTGCCTAGAGAGTGGGCGTGTTCGAGCGGATCACTTTAATCAAGTCAATGACCATCATTGGTCACCGCCTTTCAAAATATGTTGCATTATGGTTATATGATCAAAGTTCAAGCAGTTTTTGATGAAGTCGCCTTCAAGTTGCTGCAGTTGCTTCTCACCAACTGCACCATGCAGACATCACTTGCATTGTGGTTGGCTCTATTGCAGGGTTCCCCAACTGTCGGCCCGCGGGTGTTTTTATTTGCCCCCCCCCACCCCCAAGGTTTCTGAGCAACAACAAAAACCAAAAAAAAAAAAATAATTTATTTTTGCATTTTCATTGTTGGACATAAAAGATCATTTAAATTAATTGAAGAAATCTGTTCCCAAGTATTCCCACGCATAATAGAGAGACACGTGATAGTATATAAATGTAAGCAAGGTTTGAAATGATTATGTTTTAGTCAAACATTATATCTGTTTGGGCTTCTTGCGGTTAATTTACAGTCTACTAATTATTTGTAATTATGTTCCAGCCCCCCGACCAGCCGCTCAAGACAAAAACGTCCCGTGGCTGAATCTAGTTGACGATCCCTGCTCTATTGTCAACCAATCATTAGGGAATGTTTGTTTGACCCACTTGAATGTGACCCAAGACATGAATTAAACAGGAACCAACTTTTCCACAATTCATGTATAGAGTGGGTATGTAAAAATGTATGTGATATTTGAGTCTCTCTCTCACCAATTGATTGTACAATGTACACACATATATTTTCAGTTTGTCAGTGTGTGATATGGGAGTTGGAGAAATGTTTATTTTGACATTATAAAGAACATCAGTTTACTACAGTTTACCATTCAAAACACACCACATCAACATTCACATCACATCAAGTTTACCAGGAAGTCAGACTACCTGAACACCTACAGGCCTTTGTTTCAAAGCAAAACAAGCTCATAACAAACCACACACACCATCCCCCGTCCCACACATCATCTCTCCTCTATCCTCTCATGTGCTGACCTGTGGTGGGATGGTGATCAGATCGCGTAGGAAAGGGGGCGGGACTTCCCTTAGTTCAAACACCTCCACCGAGGCCTGGACCCCCAAGTCTATGAAGAGGATGTCTAGGACTCTGCTGCCATGGAGGTTGGTTATCTGTAGGAAAGCAGCGAGAGGTCATGAGTCTGGGGTATCTCTGTATCCACTGAGTTCAGCTCAGTTAATATTTTTTTAACCAGGACAGTCCATTCAGCAACAATTATCACAGTTTTCCAGGGTGTCTTGGGATCGATAAAAATAATACAAATTATATAATGAGATAAGTGAGGTTCACTCTCAAAGACAGAACACTCCTGGATAAAGGACTGAAATTAACCGTCACCTCTTTTCATTCTGGACCAAAGTGTAGACATCATTCCTATTTGGCAGCAGCTAGCAAAACGTATATATTTGTCTCTGCCACATCAGCTATACAGTATTGACTCTGAGGTAATAGTATCCATCTCACCTCCACGCGAGACCATTTGCCTTTGTAGCGTGCTAGACAGCCTTTACCACAGAACGGTCTGGACACCAGGAACTCTGATGTCACCTGCCACACAGAAGAGATGATGTTATCAATATGAGACAGGATTATGTCATCAACGTGCGACAGATGCAGGGCAAAAGAAACAGGTGGTCTACGGTGACTCAGCCTGTTCAAGCAGAATATTTCTGGTCACAGTCAATATTTTGTATATAACAACAATACATCAAGATAATAACAAAATACCAGATATATGTAATATTATGTAGCCTGCCCTTGTGCTTTGTATATATCTGTATTTTATGCATCTGAAATAACCTGAACAAGCGGTTTTAGTGAATTATAACTGGGGATTACAGTAGTTAGTAGTATGTGGCCAGTAGGTCAGTCCCAGTAGGTCAGTTCCAGTGTCATGTGATCAGATTAAGTGGCCTGTGTCTTAACCCCCAGATTATGTTCCTTAATCTCAATCTGGAAACAACTGTCTGCCACTATGCCTCCTCAGAGTATAAGGATGAGAGACAGAGGCTCTCCCACACACGCATGAGCGCACACACGCAGGCACACAGGTACCTGTGAGTGGAAGTAAGCCTCGGTCTTCTCCAGTATCTCAGTGAGTTTGGCCAGGCCTCGAGATGGGAGCTGGCAGCATATGGTCCCATCTGAACACACACTTCTCACCGCCACGTTCATATAGGCACTGTTCACCTACATGGGGAGAGAGAACCATGGCTGGGTTAGACATGATCCCATTCCACTTATTAAAACATTTGAAGGTGCAATCTGGCATCTGGGAATCTGTTCAATGGTTAATTAAAGGTTGAAAACGGCAAAGCTAATATTTAGATATCACCCAAGATTAAAATAATAATAACTGCAAAACATGGATCAGTACAGTATTGATGAAGGATGCTCAAGAATGTCTTCAACCCACTAACAGCGAATGACAATAACAGTAGCCCACCTGTAGAGGGCTGGCCAGGGTCTTGACCTGCAGGGCTTTGATACAGGCAGTGTACTATAATATATTCTACTCTACTTTACTCTACTATACTCTACTATACTCTACTATGACAGTGACCGACCTGTAGGGGGCTGGCCAGGGTCTTGTCCTGCAGCTCTTTGATACAGGCTGCGTTGATGTTGACATCATCATCCTGCGACGTGTCATACAGGACCACCAATGGGGTCTGCGCTCTCTCAAGGATCTCAGCCAATAGGATCTTTCCGCTAGCCATGGACTCAAACTTCTTCAGAACAGCAGGCTCCTGGCAGAAAGTCTCCAGACCTGGATAAGAAAACAGAGACAGACAGACAAGCAGACAGACACTTCATTCAGAAGAAGAAAACGGAATCCAACCCTCAACCTGCAACACTATTGTATAAAATCAAAAAGCCTGCTGTAACTTTGTGAAGATAAAAAATATATATATAACTGTCTGAGAATTCAATCAAAACTCACCAGCTAATTTACACTTGGTGGCCTGGAAAGGCAGCTTGAAAAACGTATCATGCAGCTCAAACACTTTGGCCTTGCTGATGACTTCCGAAAACCCGTGATCCACATAGTAAACCTATAGATTCACCAACAGACACAAAGAGTATGTGTGGAAAAAAGTAGAGAGATGCAATTCATTTTCTAAAATGTCAAAACCTAAACTCTCATCCTATCCTCAAACCATTAACATGGCACCATAGATTTATAATATGACAAATAACCTAAGCAATAAATATCCATGTATCTTTATTCAATTCCATTGCCTAAGTTTCAACCAATTGACCTCACCTTGACCTTGTCGGTCATGACCTCTATAACTTGTGCTCGTAGTATCTCCTCCTCCTCCTCAGCCCTGACGGCTGCCAGCTGACCAGAGGTTGGAGAGGCCAGGGGGGTACAACTGTTGTTGTCTTGGCAACAGTAGAACTCTCTCATCTCATCCTCCAGAGCCTCCTGGGCCTGGGAGTAGCCCTCTCCTATGTACCTGGATAGAGTTAATACACACAGGTATGAGCAGATACACACACACATGCACATCGAGAAAGAGAGGGAGAGAGGGGAGCGGGGTTAGGAGCGATAAAGAGGAGGACGAGAGAGAGAGAGAGAGAGAGAGAGAGAGAGAGAGAGAGAGAGAGCACAACCACATTTTATGGGACAGCAAAGTCATTTTCATTTATTTTCAGTGCTGTAAGTCCAGCTCCAACAGTAACAAGGGGCTGGTCAACAAACCATGCTCTGTTCATAATATACCATAACGACACAATTGGCCCTCAGAGCAAGCACCAATCACCCATAACCAAACAACTGGCCCTCAGAGCCAGTACCAATCACCCATAATCAAACAACTGGCCCTCAGAGCTAGTACCAATCACCCATAACCAAACAACTGGCCCTCAGAGCCAGTACCAATCACCCATAACCAAACAACTGGCCCTCAGAGCTAGTACCAATCACCCATAACCAAACAACTGGCCATCAGAGCCAGTACCAATCACCCATAACCAAACAACTGGCCCTCAGAGCCAGTACCAATCACCCATAACCAAACAACTGGCCCTCAGAGCCAGTACCAATCACCCATAACCAAACAACTGGCCCTCAGAGCCAGTACCAATCACCCATAACCAAACAACTGGCCCTCAGAGCCAGTACCAATCACCCATAACCAAACAACTGCCATAATAGCCTGTGCCTATTACAGTGGTTCTTACCTGAGTATGACTCCGTTGGTATTGGTAGCTTCCACCACCAGCACAGAGGGGTACTCCTCCCTGGGGATGAGGAGAGGAGGTACAGCCTGGGTACTGAGCCTCCTCCCTACCTCATCTCTGGCCCTGCGCTCCTCCACTGACTCCCTCCTGTTGCAGCTCTCCTCCTCCCTGGTCCTCTTGTACAGGATGGCCCTCTTGGGGTTGTCTGGCATAGGGTAGTCTATGGTGCAGAAGTCGGAGAGCAGCGAGAGATTCTCCAGGACGTGTTTGGGGAGTTTTGTCTTGTACGTGTCCAAGTAGAGTTTGGGTAAGGCGTGGGCCCATAGACCGTTGCTGTATTTCACTAGGAGCTCCCCGAGCTTCTGTTTCAAGTCGGGGGAGAGGGTGGAGGGGGAGGCTGGGGGACTGGGGGAGGAGGAGGGGGGAGTGAGGGGGAGAGGGCTCATGGTGGTGGTAGGGGGGCTGGTAGGGGGCTTTGACTGGGGTTTGATGTCCGTGGATGGGGTGAAAGGGGCGGATGTGGGGGATAGGACTCTGGCAGGGACAGGGGATGGGGTCTGTGTATGTGTTAGTTCTTTAGCTGGGTAGAGGAGTAATTCTTTTGGGTTACTGCTGCAGGGTTTCTCTACCTGAAACAGAAGAGAAGGCCAGATCCTCTTCAGATACATAAAACAAGCAGATCTAAAACACACTCTAAAACGATAATACAGGAGTAATCAATCATATAATAGAACACATTTCACACCATATGCTATGCAGCTGTGGGGACCTACAGGCTATTTGACTAAGAGAGTATCAACTTTTATAAAAGATGATGGATATTCATCATTATGCTGTATTCAATCTAAATATAGTAACATGTATTTACTCAATGCACCCCTGTACAATATCAGTATTACACTTTTGCAAACACATTCCATTTATTTATCTTTCCTCTATTCATACTCATTACAATATGTGACCTATAAATAAAGTATCCAATTTAACGTACAGTGCATATGTGAGTCCAGTGCTCCAGATCTTTGAGTGCTTCGCTAGGCAGGTCCTGTTTGTACAGTTCTCTGTAGAGCTGGGGTAGTTTAGGACACCCAGAAGCCATTACTGTATTTGTTCAGCACTTCTCTGAGATGCCCCTGCACCTGCTGGGGACTGTAGTTCCCACCGGCAGAGGGGTTGTGGTCCTTGGGGGAGTGGTGGGACTTGGGCTTCCCAGAGCCAGCACTCTCATTGAGGTTTGAGGGAGCTGAAGGAGGAAATAAGGGGAGGAAGACATTTTAGGTCAAGCGTATGTTGGTTAGGCATGGATTTGTATGAACTTCTACAGGTATATCCTGGTTATTGCACAGTTTTTGGGGTGATATGGAGTATATAAGTCCAGGACTCTGTCCTGACCAGGCGACTATTAGCCTAGGGCCCAGAGAAAAACTCCTGGCCCTAGGTACAGGTGTAGCTTGTCTAATAACGATGTGTTACATTGCGAGAGACTTTGGTGCCTCAGGGTAAAAAAAAAAAACGGTTTGTTTTCATGGATCTATCTCTTATTAGTAAGAAGAACGAGTTTGTAGGCTGAAGCTAAACTGTAATGTTCTTGCTTTGAGACGTGTTGCGTTTAAAGGACAGTAATTTAAAGGCCAGGAACCTGAGGGGCCAGTCAAAGCTGTGTTAATGACTGTTTGAAGAGGTTCTAATTCCTGGAAAGGCCTCAGATGTAGAAACGCATCTCTGAATGAGGAAATACATCCCTGATTAGAGTGTAAGGATGAAAACAGTAATGCCGTGTACCTTGAAAACCCTTGCTTTAGGACATACACTGAGCCACTTTTACAGAGTCCTACTTACTGTTGCTCTGAGTATTCCTGGATAGGTGAGCGTGCACTTCCTTCTGGAACCGTGACGGAAGGGTCATCCTTTTGTCTGACCTACAGAAAAAGAAAAGAGAGAAAATTAAGTGTTGACTTTGAACCGTTTCTACTGTATCCCTCAAATGATAGGGAGTCTAAACAGACACTTATGAACCAATGGAGGACAATGGATGAATAACAAACAGCTTTCATTTTTTTTTCAGTTTGAAAACATAATTTCAGTTTGTGTCCCCATTTCTCAACCAAACATAAACTTTGGTGGAAGAAGCCAGCAAAATCACTCAGTCAACCCAGTCAGTGCTAGACTAGACTAGACTGTCCTCTACAGTATTCTGTACACACTCCATAAACAATACCCCTGTGCTCTAGAGCCTAGATGCCTGAGATATCCTCATAGAAATTCCTAGAACGGTCATCCCCATTCAAGTCCATGGGTTGGTGAGCCTTCCTACGAATTCCATTTCTATTGGATGGCCTCTCTGATTACACCATACTACCCATAATGCTCTCTGATGGGAGTCTCTCCATCCCCGAATGACCTTAGACAATAGGGACATAACATTATGAATACATAAGCTTATACAACTGGGTCGCCGGGTAGAATAGTACTGAGGCACCATAAACAGGCCTTTCATTGGCTACACATTGGCTACACAACCCCAGACATACATAATTGGGGCCAATAGTTTGTCATAACCACATTATGTTGCCTGACTGACCAGGAAAAACTCCTCTAGTTGTAGCCTATGAGTTTTTTTCTAATCAGGAGAGGTCATATGCTCAGGACTCCTGGCCCCACTGTATATAAAACTGAGAAGTAACTTTGACTGGAATCTACCTTAAATTATTAGAAAATAACTTAAACTATTAGAAAATAAATATTGTAAACTATGATGGATTGCTATAACTGTTAAATTATATTAGCCCCAACAGTTAACAGGAAGCCAGACAAACTTTAGAGAGCGAACAAAATGTGATTGACCCCACAAACCTTCACATACCACCAGTGCGTGACTTAACAAAGGCCAAGCGATCAGTGGCTGCACCACCCAGAATGTTCCTCTAGTTGCAGATAAAAGTGTGTTTGTGTGTTTGTGAGTGTGTATGTGTCCGCACTCCTGTGTGTGTGTGTGTGTGTGTGTGTGTGTGTGTGTGTGTGTGTGTGTGTGTGTGTGTGTGTGTGTGTGTGCGTGCTGCTTTGTTTGTGTGCTCCCACGCGCGTCCCTCTGCATTTGATCTGAGGCATCAGATGAAAGTGCCCAGACTGTACTACTACAGATATGCTGATTCATTGGGCTGTTAATCTGTAGTAGAATAGGAGAGGGATTAGCCTGCCTCGTTCCTATGCTTTCAACCATGTCACCCCGGTCTCTCCTGTGGTCCATTGTCTGGTGAGAGAGTGCCACTGATACACAAAACCGAAGAGTGAGTCGGGGTGAGGTCAGTTGTTTTCATTAGGTAGCTATTAGCCACATTGTGCTTGAAAAGCGAGAGAGGGGAAGAGAGAGGTGGGAGAGGGAGGGGGGGGGGGGGAGAGAGGTGTGGGGGGTTAGAGAGAGAGAGGGGTGAAAGAGAAAGCGAGAGAGAGGCTGCTGCAGTCCTGTTGCTACTGCTGAATAAGCACAGAGGAAGGGAGAGAGGAGGGAGAGAGGGGAGAGGGAGAGGAGAGGTAGAGAGGAGGGAAGAGAGGGAGAGAGGAAGAGAGGTAGGGAAGAAGGAGGGAGGGGAGAAGGGAGAGGGAGAGAAGAGGGAGAGAGGAGAGAGGAGATGGAGAGAGGAGAGAGAGAAGGAGGGGAGAGAGAAAGAGAGAGACGAAGGGAAGAGAGGGGGAGGAGGGAAGAGAGGGAGAGGGAGGGAGAGAGGAGGGAGAGAAGAGACGAGGGAGAGAGGGAGAGGGAAGGAGAGGAGGGAGGGAAGGAGGCGAGGGAGGAGAGGAGGGAGAGAGAGGGAGGGAGAGAGAGGAAGAGAGAGGGAGAGAAGAAGAGGAGGAGAGAGGGAGGAGGGAAGGAGGGGGGAGGAGGGAGGAAGGGGAAGAGAGGGAGGGAGGGAGGGGAGAGAGAGGGAGAGAGAAAGAGAGGCGAGAGAGGGAGGGAGAGGGAGGAGGAGGGAGAGGAGGAGAGGAGGGTGATGAGGAAGAGAGGAAGAGGGAGGGAGGGGGAGGAAAAGAAAGGGAAGGGGGGAAGAGGAGAGGAGGGGGGGGAAGAGAGGAAGAGGGAGGTGGAGAGGGGGAGGGAGAGAAGGAGAGAGGGGGGGGGAAAGAGAGGGGGAGGGAGGGGGAGAAGAGAGGGAGGAGGAGGGAGGGAGGGAAGAGAGGGAGAGAGGGAGGGGGGGAAGAGAGGGAGAGAGGGAGGGAAGGGAGGAGAGGGAAGAGAGGAGGAGGGAGGGAGAAGAGAGGAGAGAGGGAGGGAGGGAGAGAGGGAGAGGGAGGAGGAGGAGGGAGGGAGGAGGGAGGAGAGGGAGGGAGGGGAGGGAGGGAGAGAGGGAGGGAGGGGGAGAGAGGAGGGAGGAGGGAGAGAGGGAGGGAGGGAGGGAGAGAGAGGGAGAGAGGAGGGAGGGGAGGAGAGGGAGAGAGGAAGGAGGGAGGGAGAGAGGAGAGGAGGGAGGGAGGGGAGAGGGAAGAGAGGGAGAGGGGGGGGAAGGAGAGGAGAGAGGGAGAGAAGGGAGGAGGAGGGAGAAGAGAGAGAGAGAGGGAGGGAGGGAGGGAAGAGAGGGAGATAGAGCGGGAGGGATGGAAGAGGAGGGCGGAGAGGGAGGTAGGGAAGAGAGGGAGAGAGGGAGGGAGGGAAGAGAGGGAGAGAAGAGAGGGAGAGAGGGAAGAAAGGGAGAGAGGGGGGAGGGAAGAGAGGGAGAGAGGGAGGGAGGGAAGAGAGGGAGAGAGGAGAGGGATGGCTGGCCACACTAAACTAAACCAACCAGTGGGTTCCAGTGCCATTCATTCACGATTCTATTTTCATTCAGGTCATGCACCAAGGAAGAGAGAAAAAAAAGAGGAGGACAGAAGAGGAAAGAAAGAGAAAGAAAGAGACATAGAGAGGAGAGTGACTGACAGATAAATAATCATTGTCTTAGTTGTTTTCGTCCTTTCATTTCCCTGATTCTTAGACCATGGAACAAAATTCCCCCCTCACAGCGATGGCAATGCTTCCAACTCAAAGTGATATTACCTAAACAGAGGAAGAAAGTCTAACTATTTTCATAACAGCACAACAACCTAAAGGGACCAAATAAGAGGCCCTCATTTTTGGTTCCTAGAGAGTCGTTCTACAGGGACAGCATTTTAAACAACCCCAACAGAGAAAAGCTATTCACACTACTAGGCCCCCAAGGGGAGAAAACGTCTCTGTCTTTTTTATTTTCCAAGTTTTCCCTCCATTATTTTTAATGTAACTAATTTCAGTCATGATTGGAATTAGTAGAGTAGTCTAGCCAGTCTAGTCTTTCCACCAATACCCACTCACCTCTCTGAGGGCACGGAGGACTTCCTGGTGGTAGCGGTGTTCTGATTGGTTGGTTTGTTCTGGTTGGAGCTCTGATTAGTCTTCCTTTCTGATTGGGTGTCCCTCATGTCCCTCCCCTGTCTAAAGTCATGGTGGCCCCCTGACCGGCCGCCCCCGCCTCCTCCACTTCCTCCTCCTCCTCCTCGCCCCACACCACGACCCCTATGGTCTGGCTGTCTTAGGGAGGTTCTGGGCTTGGCTGGGGAGGAGAGAAAGATAGTGACATCATGATGATAGGAAATACACAAACCAAATCTGGACCTGGAAGCCAGCTCCACTGCGTTTTTTCATTCTGCCCCTCTAATCAGGGACTGCTTTAGACCTGGAACACCAAGTGGGTGCAATGAATTGTCAGGTAGAACAAAAACACAGCAGTAATCCGGACCTCAATTTGAATTCCCCTGGTATATACATTTACATACACAGATAAGCAATGCATGCATACACGCACACACTCACACACACACACACACACACACACACACACACACACACACACACACACACACACACACACACACACACTCGCACGCACGCACACACACACACACACACACACACACACACACACACTCACACACACACACACACACACACACACACACACAATGCATTAATCTGCAAAAGGTCAGTTGGCAAGAGGATAAATAATACATCTACAAAAGACATTGAAGAAGGGCTGTCAATCCTATCTTTAAGTCAATCATAAAAACAGCCGAGTCACTGTAGATCACACCATTGTCATTATTATGCCTTGCTGTGTAGCAAATAGACTACATCATACCTTCTAGTCCATTCTGCAATGACTTCATAACTTATAGCAAGGTTTACAAGTCATAAAACATTCAGTGCGATCGTCATCAAACTGATGACATCGTAGCTTTCTAATCTGCTCAATCATGACATCCTCATACTCTTTTTTTTAAATCCAAACTCTGATTGGATGCCAGATATTCTACATAGAATCCCCCTGCAGCACTAGCATGACACCATACCCATTAACCTAGTTCCGACACCCTATCCAATCCAGAGCCTTCTATTTACATTGTAAAGGCTCTGATTCGATCCAGCCCTAGTATGACATCATCCACATCAGCCCAACCCAGCTGACATGACATCACACAACAAACAGCCCAGCTCTGACACACCACAGCCTGACTCTGTCTCCTCCTGCCTCCCTGCTCCTCTCTTCCTCCCTTCCACTCCTCTGCAGAAACTAGTACTCACCAAGCCTTGCTATTGCTGAGAATGAGACACCACAGCAGAAACCATCGGCAGCCTCCGTATCCCACCGCCTTCACAGAAATAGGCTGTAGCTATAGCTAATTACATTATGCGCTGGCCTGTCTCAATGCATACCAGTGACCCTCCCCCTCTAGGGACACGCCGTCTGAGGTTAGGTGAGGAGACACCGGTGGTGGCGAGACAGAGATGGCAGACACAGCAGCAGTAGTGGCATCACAGTCCCAGAGTCCCCTGGTTTTCGATTTCAGAAAGGATCAATATTCCTAGCTGTGATCAGCCCCTGTTCAGGAGATATGAAGAGAGAGAGAGAGAGAGAGAGAGAGAGAGAGAGAGAGAGAGAGAGAGAGGAGAGAGAGAGAGAGGAGAGAGAGAGAGAGAGAGAGAGAGAGAGGAGAGAGAGAGAGAGAGAGAGAGGAAGAGAGATACGTAGAGGAGAGAGAGAGCGCGAGAGAGAGAGAGAGAGAGAGAGAGAGAGAGAGAGGAGAGAGAGAGAGAGAGAGAGAGGATGGAGAGAGAATGCAGGAAGAGAGAGGCTGCTGCGTTGGCATGCGAATCAGCACCTCGCCGCTTGCTTCTAAATCCGCTGTTCGCAGCTGCGATGAGACTGCATGAGCTTCTCTCCTCCTCCTCCTCTCTCTCTGTCCGCTTAGTCTCTCTCTCTCGCCCTCCCTCTCTCCCCATCTCTTTTTGTCTCTTGCTCTCCCTCCCTCTCTCTTTCTCTCCCTCCCTCATTTCTCTTCCTCGCTTGCTCAATCTCCCTTCTCCTCCCCTCTCTCTCCTCTCTCTCTCCCTTCACATCTCCTGAACGGGGGCTGATCCCAGCTAAGAATATTGATCCAAGCGAGGGTGTCTTTACAACGACTGTGTGTGTGTCTCAGTAAAGCAACTCGGTGTGTGTGTGTAAAGAGTTTATTCCAAAACACTATATATCCATTTTCTGAAATGTTGGTAAATTAGCTTTTATTGTATGAAGAAATTATGAAAGAGATTGGTGTGTTATTTCACTATCTAATCATGAAATGGGGCTGTTCAATGACAGACACGTATTTGTTTAAAATCTATCACTTAATGGTTTCATTTCAGTGCAACAAATAATCATGTTTTTTTTGCTAAATGCTATATCCGCCTCACTCTCAGAGAAATAAGTAGTACTGCTAGGTTTTACAGTCAAATATAACAAATAACATTTTTAATAAAGAACTGTACACATTTTAAATTTGTGACATCAATTTTTAAAACATGTTTTTTTGTATTATTCAATACAGTAATATGAGATCTGTATGTAAAACATTTTCATTTGACATTTTAGTCATTTAGCAGATGCTCTTATCCAGAGCGAGTTAAAGTTAGTGCATTCATCTTAAGATAGCTAGGTGAGACAAACACATACCACAGTAAAATATACAGGATACGGACATTCCATTCCAGCTAAACAATGGATATATGTGACCGACTGGCTCGATTCGGTCTTATGTAGCAAAATTTGAAATTGTGTTTTTTACAGTGGATAAAAGTAGACATTCAGAGCTAGAAATTGGTATATCATACACTACAGTTGAGGAACAATGGGAAAGTAATTCTGCTTTGAAAGTTGATAAAACTTGTAACCTCATTTTTGAGAAAATGGCCTTTGAATGTTTTGGTACACCTACTGGAGAGCTCTTCTTTGTCTACACCCATTCAGCATCGTTCACACCCTCTTAAGCTTTAGCCCCACCCAGCTCATTAAGGGTTGATCTGAGCGTTCTGTCCTAACAACAGCAGTCAAGAACCCAAGCTAACTGGCTAACGTTGGCTAGCTTGCTAGCTACTTCCAGACACAAGTATGAAAAATGTATGCACTCACTACCTGTAAGTCGCTCTGGATATGAGCATCTGCTAAATGACTAAAATGTAAATATAAACAAATGAGAGAACAGCTCACTGACCATTTTACTCGCCCTAGCAGAGCTGGTTAGGTTGTTTTTATGTTATCCAGAGCGTTGGTGATTGCAACTGTGCTGCTGGCAACAATTTACGCTTTTTTGCCAACGTTTACTGACACCGGCCATATTCAACGGGTGTTGAGCGTTCGTAAATTCGTCAGTTATTCTACGGTCTGGCACACTCTGACAAGAGTGCTCTGAAATCGGAGTAGATAGCCAGAGCGAATTTACCAGCTACGTCTATCAACAGTTGTCGCAGTGACATCATTAACGTTCTATTGAAATGGTTACTTGCATAGTGGAGCCTTTTGTTAAGACATGTAGCTAGCTAACTAGCTAAACAATAAACCATAAAAAATCATACACATCTAAAATCTATGAATTAGAAATCAGAGAATAGTATTTTATACACACATGAAGGTACCCATAAGCAATCATTTCTGATGAAAAAACACAAACGTGAAAAATTGGTGGATATAGCATTTTGGAAAGTAAACTATTAGTGTGTCTGTGTTGGTACAGCGTCTGGTCTTGTACAGGGATTTTATTCTTAGTACCTCTGGTACGGCTCAAAATATCTATAAATATCTATAAATTAACTTTCAACATGTCAACGTAGAATTGTACTGTATATCTAGTACATACATTGTCGTACATCATTGTCCCATTGCAAACTTGTGTAGGGCATTGAGTTCAGGCGTATTCTAAAAACAAGCTCAAGTGTCTGTGTAATTTGATAAGTTAATTGAATGTTCCCCAGTTTCAATCCAAAAGGTGGCATTCCATGGAATCAGTATGAGGTGAAATCTCAGTTTCAAAACACTTGAATTATACCTCTCAGATAATACAATAGCAGGCATTCAGTGATAGTCACACAAGCCACCTCTACTCAGATAAGACCCAATATGCCATTGCCTTTCTATAGGTTTAATGGTTATGGAAAAAGCAGATGGATTTAGGCAGTCAGACAGAGAACCCCCCCCCCCCACACACACACACACACACACACACACACGCCCTACCGTTAAGGACGAGAGGGGCGGCAGGCTTCACTCTCATCTGACAGTTGACCATTTGGGGTCGTCCAGTCTTCTTCGAGGTACGCTGGCGAGCCACCAGCTTTGCGACGTGGGCCGTCTCACCGGAGACCGAGGCGAAAACACACCATCTGGAGAGGGAAGCGAGAACACCACACACACACAAAGATGCACACACGCAGACACACACACACACAACAGTTAGCTAATAGCTACATTATCAGTCTGCATTGACTTTTGAACGGGTAATTCGGGGCTAATTAGAATGCTTGAACTGTCCATTTTATCAAGTGGCTGGCTGGCTGGAAAATAAAGTTATCAAAAGTCAATGATTCTGAACGATTAGCATCCAGCTGGTGTGAGCTAATGAGTGTACCCTGTGGTAACCCTCTCTCAGTGTCTCAGTGTATCAGTTTGTGTGTGTGTGTGTGTGTTTGTGTGTCTGTCTGTCTGCTCATCCATACATTTCTCTGTTGGTGTTGGAATGTGTGTGTATATATACACTCTCTCCTCACCTCCCCAGAGCGGTTACGCTCCATGCGAACCACGCTGGGCATGCTGTGCAGCAGAGCGTCCAGGTTGCCATGACCCATCTGCTTATGAGGGATCTGTTCACCAGTCAGATCCTTGTATTCAGACTGGAGGCGGGACAAAGACACCCCGGGTCCGCTCTTATTGGCCGTCAGCACCTCCCGTAACATCTTCTTCACCAGCTCTACGTCTGCCATCTTTATAGAACACAAAACAAGGACATTTTATATATGACCATTTCTATTTTTTATTTACCTGGTTGTCCCAGAGGCCAAGAGGGAAGAGACCTGGCACACTGGTTGGTAGCACTTTACATTACAGCACATAGCCTAATAAAGTGGAAATAACATGGTAATAGTTGCTATGGTAACAAAGCTGTAGTTGTAGGCCTATGTTGCTGTGCCTGTCTTTGGGGACAATACAGATTTGTTGTATTAAAAAGGATTGGTCCATTGGGTCAGGGGTGCCTTGTCAAACAGGTTTCTTATCACTGATCTGAGAACACAGCAGGATCTGGAGTTTCTCTGGTGGGTTCCAGTCTGTTTTTGCTAGGGCCCTCCAGTTTGTAAAAGTTCAATGAAGTTTAACCTCAGTATAAACATCAACCAAGTTCAATATCTGACACTGACAAATGTAAAACAAAAATATATAATAATATATGTTTATGATACAATTAGTAACAGTCTAAATACAACTTTTGTAGCCTATAACCGAATATTGTATTAAAATCACGTTCAAAACTAAAATCATAGCCCTGCATTGTTAGCTAATATCAGGTAAATGTAGAAAGCCGTCTCTATATTGAAAGCAATTTAAGCAAATACCTTATTTAGTGTGTTTTTTTTTTTTTTTACACTGGTTACTGCAGTCAACATGTTGACTTCATCTCATGATGGACAAATTACGTTTCACGATTAACGTTACATTTCACTCTAATCGAGGGCATTCAGTTTCGTTTATAACTTCAGCACAGTGCACAACGCCCCGATTTGGAATTTGCTGTGGATGCAGTTTGATTTTGCTTCAGATAGACAAGGGTAGAGTCATTTTATCGCAAGAGGATTTAGGGTTTCTTTTCAATTATTTGATTTGATATAAAATACAGACAGTTCTCGAATTTGGCACAGAAAGGCACGCCCTCAATTTTCTCCAGCAACTTTCTTTTACGCTCTTTCGACTTCTTGTAAATACTGTAAACCTAAATAAATATGACTCAATATGCCTATGATTTAAGAAGTGGGTCTAAATACAAAATAAAATGTGGATGAAAACCAAATATGTTAAATTGTTTATAATAGGTCAGTGAACGCGTCTCGTGCCACTCTCTCCACAGGAATTCCTCTCCACATAGAATAGAGAACAAGTGGTGACGTAATCTGTCACATCCATACCCTCCATGCCAACGGAGAATTTGATCAAGTTTGCGCTCTATGCGCGGACATTAAAAGCCGAAAAAGCAACTGATTTATTAGGTTAAATTAGGCTGTAAAATACATTCTAAATGTGCATTAGCAACTGTCACCAACAAGCCCCAAGTGTCCTGTCAAGCGACGTTGCGCTCTATCGAGTTCCGTACTCTTGTCACTTCTTGGGACACTCACAGAGCGCTTATCCAAAGCATTCACCGCCACCAAATAGGCTAATATCAAACTGAAATCGTTCATCTATCCTATTTTATTTTAGTGAAATAATTCAATAATCCCATCCAAATAACTCTTACCTTGCTGGGAAGGAATAGAGGGGATGGTGACCCGGTTAACTTATTCACGACCTGTTCGTCACACTCCCTGAAAGTCTAGCCTTGGCTGTCCCGAGCTATCCCCTGTCTCTAACCCAACGCTGCGCTTGAGCCAAACCAAGTGTCTCCCAGCCGCCCGGTAGGTGTAGCCACGTGTGTGTCGTGAACAACATTAGCCTGAGCAACAATGGTGGAATCGGCGGTTCTCATTCAAAATAAAAGTCCCCATTGAAACTGATGCAAACGGATCAAAATAGTGAAAACATGCAACAATTGGACTAGATCATGCTAAACAAGGTTGGAATGATTATCCAACTTCATGTGATTGGCCAGCTTCGCAGCTTTGTACAGGGGGCGATGAAACATGGTTTCCACTAGCTTCCATAGCCACAAAGTCAGATTCCAAAGCCAGAGTCAAAATTGGCACTTCTAGTCATAGCTGTATTCAAGTGGCCTTTTTTTTGGGGGGGGGGGGGGGTTCTCAAGCTAGCGTAGAGGCGAAGCGAGAGGGTCGACTCTGCCCAAAATCTGTCTGCGAGAAAATAAGTGTTAACATTACATTTTAGTCATTTAGCAGACGCTCTTATCCAGAGCGACTTACAGTGCATACATTATTATTATTTTTTTCATACCCCCTGTGGGAAACGAACCCACAACCCTGGCGTTGCAAACACCATGCTCTATCAACTGAGCTACATCCCTGCCGGCCATTCCCTCCCCTACCCTGGGCCAATTGCGCGCCGCCCCATGGGTCTCCCGGTCGCAGCCGGCTACAACAGAGCCTGGATTCGAACCAGGATCTCTAGTGGCACAGCTAGCACTGTGCTGCAGTGCCTTAGACCACTGCGCCACAAGTGAGGAGTTTTTGTATGGGGGGCAATGAGAGAGTATAGAATTTGCTCAAGATAAAAGTGAATTGCTATGTTGATAGGTGAGGCTTACAGTGAGGGAAAAAAGTATTTGATCCCCTGCTGATTTTGTACGTTTGCCCACTGACAAAGACATGATCAGTCTATAATTTTAATGGTAGGTTTATTTGAACAGTGAGACAGAATAACAACAACAAAATCCAGAAAAACGCATGTCAAAAATGTTATAAATTGATTTGCATTTTAATGAAGGAAATAAGTATTTGACCCCTCTGCAAAACATGACTTAGTACTTGGTGGCAAAACCCTTGTTGGCAATCACAGAGGTCAGACGTTTCTTGTAGTTGGCCACCAGGTTTGCACACATCTCAGGAGGGATTTTGTCCCACTCCTCTTTGCAGATCTTCTCCAAGTCATTAAGGTTTCGAGGCTGACGTTTGGCAACTCGAACCTTCAGCTCCCTCCACAGATTTTCTATGGGATTAAGGTCTGGAGACTGGCTAGGCCACTCCAGGACCTTAATGTGCTTCTTCTTGAGCCACTCCTTTGTTGCCTTGGCTGTGTGTTTTGGGTCATTGTCATGCTGGAATACCCATCCACGACCCATTTTCAATGCCCTGGCAGGGAAGGAGGTTCTCACCCAAGATTTGACGGTACATGGCCCCGTCCATCGTCCCTTTGATGCGGTGAAGTTGTCCTGTCCCCTTAGCAGAAAAACACCCCCAAAGCATAATGTTTCCACCTCCATGTTTGATGGATGATTCAGAGGAGAACTGAGTGAAAGTGTTGTGGTCAGATGAGACCAAAATCAAGCTCTTTGGCATCAACTCAACTCGCCATGTTTGGAGGAGGAGGAATGCTGCCTATGACCCCAAGAACACCATTTCCACCGTCAAACATGGAGGTGGAAACATTATGCTTTGGGGGTGTTTTTCTGCTAAGGGGACAGGACAACTTCACCGCATCAAAGGGACGATGGACGGGGCCATGTACCGTCAAATCTTGGGTGAGAACCTCCTTCCCTGCCAGGGCATTGAAAATGGGTCGTGGATGGGTATTCCAGCATGACAATGACCCAAAACACACAGCCAAGGCAACAAAGGAGTGGCTCAAGAAGAAGCACATTAAGGTCCTGGAGTGGCCTAGCCAGTCTCCAGACCTTAATCCCATAGAAAATCTGTGGAGGGAGCTGAAGGTTCGAGTTGCCAAACGTCAGCCTCGAAACCTTAATGACTTGGAGAAGATCTGCAAAGAGGAGTGGGACAAAATCCCTCCTGAGATGTGTGCAAACCTGATGGCCAACTACAAGAAACGTTTGACCTCTGCGATTGCCATCAAAGGTTTTGCCACCAAGTACTAAGTCATGTTTTGCAGAGGGGTCAAATCCTTATTTCCCTCATTAAAATGCAAATCAATTTATAACATTTTTGACATGCGTTTTTCTGGATTTTGTTGTTGTTATTCTGTCTCACTGTTCAAATAAACCTACCATTAAAATTATAGACTGATCATGTCTTTGTCAGTGGGCAAACGTACAAAATCAGCAGGGGATCAAATACTTTTTTCCCTCACTGTATATATAGTTAGTACGAGTCAAAAGTTTGGACACACCTACTCATTCAAGGGTTTTTCTTTATTTTTACTATTTTCTACATTGTAGAATAATAGTGAAGACATCAAAACTATGAAATAACACATATGGAATCATGTAGTAACCAAAAAAAAGTGTTAAACAAATCAAAATATATTTTATATTTGAGATTCTTCAAAGTAGCCACCCTTTGCCTTGATGACAACTTTGCACACGCTTGGCATTCTCTCAACCAGCTTCATGAGGTAGTCACCTGGAATGCATTTCAATTAACAGGTGTACCTTGTTAAAAGTTCATTTGTGGAATTTCTTTCCTTCTTAATGCGTTTGAGCCAATCAGTTGTGTTGTGACAAGGTACGGGGGGTATACAGAAGATATCCCTATTTGGTAAAATACCAAGTCCATATTATGGCAAGAACAGCTCAAATAAGCAAAGAGAAACGACAGTCCATCATTAATTTAAGACATGAAGGTCAGTCAATCCGGACACTTTCAAGAACTTTTAAAGTTTTTTCAAGTGCAGTCGCAAAAACCATCAAGCACTATGATGAAACTGGCTCTCATGAGGACCGCCACAGGAAAGGAAGACCCAGAGTTACCTCTGCTGCAGAGGATAAATTCATTTTTGACATGCTTTTTTCTGGATTTTTTTGTTGTTATTCTGTCTTTCACTGTTCAAATAAACCTACCATTAAAATTATAGACTGATCATGTCTTTGTCAGTGGGCAAACGTACAAAATCAGCAGGGGATCAAATACTTTTTTCCCTCACTGTAGGTTATTAAATTGCTAGATTTTCTCTCCACCCGTGGCAAAATGTTTAGAACTGCAGAAAACTTTGCAAAATTTTCTCTACGCACCATTACAAAATGTGTTGAATTGCAGGAAATTAACTTGAAAACGTACATTTATCTCTATGTCGCCAAGAGGGGGGCCCTCAACCAAATCTCGCTTAGGGCCCCCAAAAGGCTGCCAACTTTTACTGTTCACATCTGAAC